AGCAGGAGTGAGACACCTGCAGCTACAGTCTCTAGTTAATTGGGGTGGGAGCCAGGTATCCACAGCTGTGGCCTTTCCGGTCACTACAGGTCTCGTTCAGAACCAGTGATTGGTAGTGACTTACTGTGAATCCACAGCCCATCACCAGACTGACTCACAAGTAACTGTAGAAAGCCAATTGGTTAACTTTAAATCCTACACAGAGTCCCTTCGTAGTGGCCTCCATCACTCAGTGTTCTTTTAAATTTGCATTTGTCTAATGGCCAAGGATACTGAATATTTTTTCATATAATTATTGGCCATCTGTACCTCTTCTGGGAAGTATCTATTTTTGGTTGCCAATTTTTTGATTGGATCTTTTATTGGGGGGCTTAATAATTCGTAGTTATTTTTATATTCTAAATGTTAGCCATCTGTCCAAGGAATAGAGGCAAATTTTTTTTCTCATCATTCTATTGGTTGTTTCCTTTGCTGGGCAAAAGACTTTTAATTTGATAGGATCCCACCTATTGAGATTTATACACAATGGAGTACACTGTGCCATAGAGAAGGATAACCTCAAGGCATTTGTAGGTAAGTGGATGCATCAAGAGATCACAATTTAAGTGAAATAATGGTTTCCCTTATATGAGCAACCCAAAATAGAAACAAAGAGCAAAAATAAAAGTTAGATAGTAGGAAGAAGGGCCATCTTTTTCAAATGGGAAGGGAATCAAGAGCTAGAGGAGAGAAGGGAAAACAGATTTTTTTAAAATTTGGGAAAAAAGGAAATAGAGCTCCTGGGGATTGAACTCACAACCTTGCACTTGCCAGGCAGGCACTTATGCCGCTGAGCTATATCCCCAGCCCTAGAGGTCTTCTAGATGTTTTGCTGCCAAAACAAGCATTAAAAACATTTTATTTTAAAGGGTGGTAGGAGGACACTGAGGCCACTTGCATGTCCATCATCAGGACCAAGAGGAAGTAGAGCAAAGTGAGGAGGGGCGTGATACCCGCTGGCCAAACCACATCCCAGGCCAGCTGTCACAGTGACAGGGAGAGGCTTTGGACATGCTAGGAAAACACTCTACTACTAGGCTACCTTCCCAGCCTTTTAAAGTTGTTTTTATTTTAAACTGCCCAGACTGGCCTCAAGCTGGTAATCCTCTTGCCTCAGCCTCCTGAAGAGTCGGGATTACTAAGTGCACTACCATGGTGAGAAAAGGAGAAAGGGTGGTTCTAGTTCACAGGAAGAAAAGGGAAGAGATGAAGGAAAGGAAGGAAGAAAAGGAAGCTAGTTAAAGGGCAAAGTTCTAAGGCAGAATTGCAGTACTATGCTATTCCCGAATATAGAAACACAGGTTGTTCCCAGATAAGCGTTCAAAACCACGCTTTGCTTGCTAATTATTTTATGATGGCTTCTTGTAATTCCTTGACATGGACTTTTCCAAATGCTTCTTGTTGGAATTCAGATAGGTAAGGGAACACCTGTGTCACACCTGTCAGTGGCAATGAGACCCGTGAACTTCACTGAAGAAAGCGGGAGAACCTGAAGGTCCGTCTTGCCACGGTTTGCACGAGCCTTCAGTGTGCTCCTAGTGAAAGGCTGGGTCTCCAGGGTGGCCGTATAAGGAGGTTAACGTAAACATAAAACCGAAACCAGGTGTGGTGGTGCACACCTGTAATTCAGCACTCTGGGGGGCTGAGGCAGAAGGACCTCAGGTTTGAGCCCTGCCTGGGCGACTTAGTGACTAAGCAAAATCATGCCTCAAAACAAAATTTAAAAGACGGGATGTAACTCAGGGTGAAGTGAGCCCTGGGGTTCAATCCCCAATACCCAAATGCTATAAATACATACATAAATAAGTAAATATATAATGAATTTTGTATTTATCTTACCAATCTATTTTTTCACTTACAGTAATCTTATTACTCTCTATTTAGCAACCTGACACTAGATGCTTCTTAGCTAGTTTTAATGCTTGCAATCCAGTCTCTCTACTCTTTAGTCATTTTTATTCATGCTCCCTCTTGGCTGTAGTAAATCACTCAGCAAAATATTTGGAGACGATTCTTGGTTGACATTTTTCTTTAGCCTTGGGGATCTGAGAATGTTAGTATTTCATAAAGAAATACTAACTTTTCAGCATATACAATTGTTGGTTCAAAATTATTTTCCTTTAAAACTCTGTAGATATTGTTCCATTGTCTTCTAGATGGTGTTAATATCTTTAAACTGTAAGCAGCTTCACAGTTGATGAAAGCACAGTTTGAAAGGAATGATTTAGAGATTTAGTGGAATTTAAGAACTAATGAAGTTGTGGCTGGGTGTGTGGTACATACTTGTAATCCTGGGATGCTGGGAGGCTGAGGCGGGAAGATTATTTGAACCAGGAGCTTGACGCCAGCTTGGAAAATGTAGTGAGACCTTCATCTTTTTTTTTTTTGCATTAAGTATTGCTTTAATTAGGAATAATCACTATAATAAATCAACATATATTATTATCTTCAATGATTTTTGGTTTGAGAAATGAAATCTTAGGATTTGAAACATCTCAAAACTGGTTGTTCTCTGAAATCTAGGCACTGCATTAGCAAAACCACGACATAATTACCCCCCTAGAGAAAAGCCTGCATTAACTGGGGCGATAAGACAGTACTGGCTAAAATATGACTTGTTGAAGTTGAATGCCACGTGGGAAACCCTAAAGAGAACCAAGGAGGCCCGCAGAGGTCATAAATCAACGCACTGGGCTGACCGGCTTGCTTAGATTTATGGTGCTGAAGATTGAACCCTGGTCCTTCTGATTGAGCTCCAGCCTCTACCCCTTTTATATTTTCCTTCCTGAGGGATCCTCCTAATTCCCTAAATTGCCCCGTCTGGGCTTTAACTTGTGATCCTCCTGCCTCAGCCTCCCAGAGTGCTGGGTTTAGGCACATGCCAGCACATCCAGAACCTGTGTTACTTTATTAAATGATGTTGAATTTAAAAAGTGAAATCCTTCATTGTATTTCCTCAGGAAAGAATCAAAAGCTTACGGAATCCTAGAAGATTGGGAGACACAAAGTGGAGTAGAGGTCCCTCTAGGGATGGCAGTTTAGAAAGTTGGTCCCTGAAGTGAGTGGTGCTGTGGCTTTGGTGGCAGATGTGCAGGAGAAGAGGCAGGGACGTCGATCAGCCGTGGGTAGTGACAGTGCTGGCTGCAGGGGGACCTTTGGTCTGTGGCTTGGCTTCCATTCTTCATGCCTCTGTGTTCATAAATGGTAATTTCACCCTAAAATCTTGAGGTCCTGGCAGGGATGGTGTACACCTGTAATTGATCCCAGCACTCTTTGAGGCTGAGACAGGAGGACCAAAAGTTTTAGCCCTGTCTGGGAAGTTTAGGAAGAATTTGTCTAAAAAAGACAGAAAATGAGAGGAGGATGTGGAAGGAAGGAAAGGGAAAGGAGAAGGAAAAGAGAGAGAGTAAAAGATAGAGAAAAAGAAAGAAAGAAAAAGGAAACAGGCTAGGGCCCTGCAAAGGCCCTGGGTTCAATTCCTAGTACGACCGACCAGGAAAAAAAGTCTCTCCCTGGAGACTGTCAGGAAGACATCTCGGGGATCTCTTTCACTCTGCTCTTGATATTGAAGACTTTCTTCACCAACTGGCCATGGTGACCTTCCATGCACAAGAACACGGCATACCGGGCAAACAAGCCAAACTGTCTTCAAGGCTGACTGGCTCCCTGGTTTCCCTACTTCCCATAAAGGTTGTTTACAGAGTAGGAAGTGTTTCTCCAAACTGCTACCTATCAGTCCAGTTCTCCAGATCCAGGGATCCCCATCTGGCACTGGCAGTTCCTGCCCAGATGGCAGCCTGGCTGAACAAATGCCTTCCTGGTCACTGGCACCTGCTGTGGCCTCGTGGTGAAAACAGGACTTGCTACATGGCTTCCCTGGCTCTCAGGGGCTGTCACACCTAGAACCCTTCTTTCTGTCTTATATGTATGTGTGCATAAGTATGTGAGTGTGTGTGTGTGTGTGTGTGTGTGTGAGAGAGAGAGAGAGAGAGAGAGAGAGAGAGAGAGAGAGACAGAGACAGACAGACAGACAGACAGACAGAGAGCATATGACGGACTGGGAGAGAGGTGCTAAGAATTGGACCCAAGGCCTTTGCACTGAGATATGTCCCTGGCCATTTTTACTTTTATTTTTTACTTTTAGCTAGGGGTTTTCGCTAAATCACTAATTTTCCTAGGCTGGGTTCAAACATGTGATCCCCATACCTCAGGCCCCAGTGTGCTGGGATTCAAGTCTTATATCACCATACAAGGTCTCAGAACCCAGTTCTTTAAAACAAACAAACAAAAAGTTCATAAAATTTATCCTACTGAGGTACACTTGACATAGGTAATAGTCTGTAGTATTTCACTAACAGATGGGCCAATGCTTTGAGAGCCAAGGTGCAGGGAAATACTTCAGGCAGGGCCCACCCACCCAGCTGCTGCCTCTGGACACTGACTGTAGGCCAATGGCCCTGCACATCAGCACTCTGCCCAGCACTCAGCCCAGGGGGCAAGTGAAAAACTCCTAAATCAGTCTCCCTGGCTTGGGGACAGCAAGGGCCCCCATCAGAGATGAACCTAGAAATCTATCCTTCTCCTAGGACAGCCTGCCCTGAAGAGCTCCCAAATGATCTCAGACACCCAGCTCTGTCTGCTGACCTTTGTTCCCATCCCCACATTGGGGATCTGATGAATTTACCCTAAGACAAACCCTGGAGGATTGTGGCTGGAAGCAACCGCAAGGGTGCTTGCTTCAGGCCCGGTCCCTGCTGGCCTCCTGTGGCCTCTGATAAGGCCATTTTCAGACTGACTCCCTGCTGGCCTCCTGTGGCCTCTGATAAGGCCTGACTTGAGATAAGAGTCTGGCACTCCTGCTTGAGGGTGAGGGTCTGAGCCCGCCCATAGGAGGGGAGGGTCAGCTGGGCCCCATTTCCAGCCCAGCCTGAGAGCCTCTGCCCTCTCCCAGGTAACCTCTCAGAGGCTCAGGAGCTGGTTTGGGGACAGAGCACTACAGCTTCATGCTTCAGACTCCTGCTAGGCCTCAGGTGAGCAGAACATGGAAGGATGACATTTTCATGTCCTTTTCCTACTCTAGTCTTGGGCTCTTTAGATGTCCTATCAGCAAACCTGATAGCATATGTCCAGAGCCATAGGCCAGGACAGAACAGAGGCCCATAGGAGGCCTCATGACATTACCCTCACCTGCTCCTCTATGAGGAAATTCCTTGATATGGAGGAAAACACTATCAATTTACTTGCTCATCAGATACCAATCTCCCATCGGCTTTGATTTATAAATATGACCCATTAAGATAATGAGTGAGTTGGTTCCAAAGTTTATCTCTCCTGATTTCTCAAGATGAAAGTAAGCAGGATTTCTACTCTATGAGAGATTTCCTTTTAGGCCATGGAGCTGATGTGGGAGGCTCTGCCTAAAAACAAACCAAAAAACTGATGAAAGCACAGATACACAAAAACATTTTTGGAGAGAAACTGGCTTATCTGACCTTTTCTTTTTGGTGTTGGTCTTCACTGCTTAGAAGAAGGAGGTGGAGGAGGTTTAATAATTACCTTTGCTAACCTCTGTACCTTTGGCTTCCTCCACTCCTGGGCACAAGATATGGCCTTTCCAGGGCTGGTCACAGGCAAGCAGCTGGGCTGGCAGCTCCTCCAGCTCTGCAAGGTGAAGGAGAAAGGTAAGCCTGGCTGGGTGATGGGAGGCCCACTGCTCTCTTGCTGGGTGGCCAGGGCTGCACAGAGATACTGTTTGGAGCAACTGAGGACTTGATCATGTCAGACTGGTTTTCCTCAGCAATTTTTGTTTCATCTCTTGCACCCCAATCAGGTGTCCTAGGGGTCTTAAGTTTGGGAAGGAATTATAGGAAAACTATCTCTGCCTTGAATTGATTCCAGTACGTATATTCCAATATGTCTTCAACAATGTTTTACTTTTGCAAACAAAAATGCCAGATGATGAAGGCAGGATGATTTCAAGCAAGTCACAGCTAAGGATTAGCAGAAAGCCACGTGGCACGGGAGCCAGGGGCTGGGAAGCAGACAGGTTAAGGGTAAATCAAGTCCCAGAGCTTTGGAAAAGACACAGGAAACTGTTTCCTGCAACCTGAATGACAGCAGTGAATGGTTTTTCTCCCTGGGGCGGAGCAAATTCTCCGCAAGGGACTACAACCTGCACCCCTCTAAAACCTGAGATGACCTTCGCTTTGAGAGTCCATACCCTGCTTTGGGGTGCACCAACCTGGAGCAGCCCTGGCTGAGCTTCACTTTGCATCTTGTCCGCTTTTGCTGAATCAAGCTTCAGCCTGTGCTCTCCTGACAGCCTCCTGGAACTGACAGAAGGGAAAGATGGGAGAGGAGACGAGCCCAAGAAAACTCAAGGAAGATGAGCACTCCATCCAGAGCATGGAACCGAAGGCCACAGATCTCCAGAAAGAGGTGAGGCCTCCTGTTTTTCCGGTGGTTGTTTCCCAGCTTGGGGTCGGGTGGTCCTAATGACAGACAGTGGAGACCCTGCAGATCCCGTGAGGAACTGAAGTGCAGTAGCTTTTTATTTCTCCAGTTCATCTTAAAAGGAATGAGCCATATTCTGGACCTACACCTCAGTGTACCCTTGAAGTTCCTGCGTCATGCGCATGCCTCATGCATGTGCTGCCATGAGCTGGGGAGGGACTGAGGTCTGGTATTTGCTCAAACTGATGGCCTTTTCAGGGATGGTTAGAGGGGGCTTCCTGGTAGTCAGGTCCCCTCTACCATCTTTGGTAAACGTCTGATCCTCTTGAATGCAGGTGTCATGGAGCTGAGCACTGCAAGACCTCCAGCATCAGTGCTGTCTTGGAGGTCTCACTGCAAAGATGTGCTGGCACAGATAGGACAGGGATAAATGCGGGAGCTGAGGTGTGGTGAGGAGACAGGGCTGGGCCTGGGCAGAGAGGAGGGGAGCTTAGTGGTAGGGGTGGAGGAGCATCACAGCCAGGTTTAGTGGCTCATACCTGTCATTGCAGCATGGTGGGAGGAGGGGGAAGGCAGACACTGAGGTAGGAAGATTGCAAGGTTCAGCCCAGAGTAGGCAACTTAAGGACTTACCAAGACTGTCTCAAAATAAATGACTGGGGATGTAGCTGCATAGGAAGGTCGTAAGTTTCATCCCAAGGACCAACAATCAAAAGAAAAAGGAGCTGCGCACTGAGCCTGTCCTTGGTGGGTTTGGGGAGCAGGCCCTGGACATAGAGGGAGGAAGGCCACAGGTCCATGGGTGAGGAAGTAGGGCCCAAGCAGCTCCGGGTGAGATCAGAACTCTGAAGGCTGTAGGGCCAGGTGATGGTGCTGAGCAGCAGCTGGGTCTTGCTCACCTGAGATAGGAACCTGTGTGATAGATTTGTCAGCATGCATCAAACAGAACCTGGCCTTTTCACAGGGCCTTTTCACAGAGCTACGTCCCCAGCCCTTTTCTATTTTTTATTTTGAGACAATCTGGCATCCAACCTACAATTTCTATGCCTGGGGATTCCCATAGCCTGTTGTTGTCCCTCACACGGATGTAAGGGGACAGTGTGAACCCAAGATGATTGCACCTATTAGAAAGCTCACACCGTACAGGATGTTATGACGGAGAGGTCACAGTGCACACCAGGTTCATCCTTGGGAAATGTCTCTTGCTCACATGGCTCCTCTCACCAGGACTCTAGATCCTGATCCTGGTTTATTTGGTGAAAATTCTCTTCTACTCTGCCCAGTGAAGAGGGTCCCCCCAAGGTCTCTGATGTGAATGATAAGAGGGATGCTGGTCAGAAACTTAGACCCTGAGCCTAGCTGTATAACTCTTGGCATGAGCAGCATTTCTGTGCTCTGTTTTCTCCTGAGGCGGCCCACTGGCCTTGTGATCCACCTGCAGCAGCTGCCCAGAGGACTAGAATTATAGGCGTCCACCACTACGCTTGGCACAAATGAACCAATTTAATATGTGCAGAGCCCCCCACAGGTCCGGGTAGAATCACAGCAGTACCTTAGGATGGACATGCCTGGAACATGGGGTCCACTTTGACCCAGGCAGGCACAGAGTTGGGGGTCGCCACTGGCCCCATGAGTGACAGCATTAACTCCTCTTCCTTCTCCTCATCCCAGGTGGGCCTGTTCAGTGGCATCTGCATTATCGTAGGCACCATCATCGGCTCCGGGATCTTCATTTCCCCCAAGTCTGTGCTCAGCAACACAGGAACCGTGGGGCCCTGTCTCATCATATGGGCGGCCTGCGGGATCCTCGCCACACTGGGTAACAAGGACTCTGCCTCCTGGCCCCCTCCCCATAGAAGCCAGGGAACACAGGGATAAGTATTGTCCTTCTTGATGCCAGGTCCCTGACCCATTTTTTGGTACTAGGGACTAAACCTCAGTCTTTTTCACTGAGCTACATCCCCAGCCCATTTTTAACTTTGAGACAGGGTTTCCATAAGTCACTAAGTTGCCTAGTCTAGGCTCACACTTGCAGTATACCTGGCTCAGCCTCGAAGAGTGCTGGGATTACAGGATGCAGCACCACACCTGGCTCTGTACCCTTTCAATGCATGGGTGGCAAATAAGGGTAAATCGGGGTGCCACTAAATGTCTAGTGCCAGAGGACTTGGGCCTATGTGGCACAGCCCCCACTGAGAAAGGATGACTTCTCTTGAGGGTCTGAAGGGGGCCATACCTGTCTGCATTCCAGGAGCTCTGTGCTTTGCAGAGCTTGGCACGATGATCACCAAGTCGGGGGGCGAGTACCCGTACCTGATGGAAGCCTTCGGCCCCATCCCTGCCTACCTCTTCTCCTGGGTCAGCATGATGGTGACAAAGCCCTCCTCCTTTGCCATCATCTGCCTCAGCTTTTCGGAGTACGTGTGTGCAGCCTTCTACTCAGGCTGTGAGCCTCCCGAAGTGGTCATTAAATGCCTCGCTGCTGCTGCCATCTGTGAGTGCCCCAGCCTGATGTCTGGGGTAGGGGTCATAGGTGACTCTGCAGAGGCTGTGGCTGGGGATCCTGGCCTCAGATCCTCTGTGCCTAACCAGAAGGAGGCCCCTGGGGCCTAGTGGCTCTGGAGAAACAGGGTTGGTGGCCACCTTGGGTGCTGAGTAGCACCTAGGTCTGTCAGGGGCTACAGGGAGGACTGCTGAGCACTGTCCCTGTCACCTGCCAGTGCCCTGCACTCAGGGCCTAGCTGCTGGCTTGTTTTCAGAGGTCACCATCAGGTGCACTGTAAAGGTCTTCCCATTCCCTCCTTTGGACCTGTGCTTGTGCCCTGGGACACAGTGTGAGGGGGAGGTGGGAGGGTAGAAGCGAGACTCCAGGGCCACATGCAAAGCTGGACACAGGATGTGGCCCCGCTTGCTGCCCTGCCTGCTCCTCCCAGTGCTCATCACCACTGTGAATGCGCTGAGCGTGCGGCTGGGAAGCTACGTCCAGAACTTCTTTACTGCAGCCAAGATGGTGATCGTGGCCATCATCATCATCAGCGGCCTTGTCCTCCTGGCCCAAGGTGACTGTGCAGGACGGGATGGGAGGGTGCCACATATCACACACAGACGCACACGCATACACTCCCCTGTGTGTGAGTCTGGTGGGAACTCCGCAGGAAGACTCAGCTGCTGTCTTCTCCGTGTACATCCTGCCTTGGCTTATGAGGAAAGCCAGGCAGAGCCGAATTCCTCAGCTGACACTATTGCTTCACTGTCTGGCTTAATTGCAGGAAATACAAAAAATTTTGAAAATTCCTTCGCGGGTACACCAGCATCTGTGGGCGGCATCAGCCTGGCATTTTACAATGGACTCTGGGCATACGATGGATGGTAATGGGGGACCCTGAGGTGTAGCAAGGGTGTCCATGGCCTTCTTCAGGCAAATCTGATTTCATCTGTTGAGAAAAGTAAAAGCATGACCTTTTGGGAAAATTAACCCACCACCATTCTTTTTCTGGTATGGGAACTGAAACTTGGGACTTGTCATCCCCATGCTTCCGAAATTCTTACTTGAGACAGACTCTGTCGATAAATTGTCCTGACTAGACTTGAACTTGTGAGCCTCCTGTCTCAGCTTCCCACAGTGCTGGGATCGAGCACCTTCATGCTTGGCTCTGGCCTCTGTCATTTCTGTTTTCCTGGCCCCCACTGAGACTAACACACCCACTCTTTTCCCTGAATGTGGGCCTGGCTGCTGACCACACCCAGTGAGCTGCCAGTGCTAAGGCCTGACTGAAATTCTCACCAGGCAACTTTGGTTCAGCTGAATTACATCCAACCACATCACCCAAGGCCTTGAACAGCCAGGAATGGATGGCACTTCTTTTGAGACCTGGAGGTCGCTAGGCCCTTTGGTTATGTCCTGTGAGGAAGAAGCATGAGCATCCTGATGCTGGGCTTTCTCTCCTGAAGAGCTTTTGTTTTTCCTGTTTCAGAACAAAATCTCCCATTTTGTTAAAGTATTCTGGTGATGCACTGCGTCTGAATACACTCACTCAAATCTCCCTCTTTTTCTTTTTGTCTCTGTTGTTCTCCTTCCTTTCTTTCCTTCCTTCCTTCCTTTTTTGCAGTACTGGGCATTGAAGCCAAGGCCTTCAAACTGAGGTACATCCCAAGCCTTTTTAAAAGGTTTTCTTATTTTGAGATAGGGTGTTGCTGTCTCACTAACTTGTCCAAGCTGAGTTCAAACTTGCAGTCTTCCTACCTCAGCCTCCCAGAGTCCTAGGATTGCGGGCTTGTGCCACCATGCCCAGCAGTGGGAAATCTTAAATGAGACCAACAGCTATTATTGTCTGTTTTGCAGTCCAGAAATTCAAGTCGTGTGTCACACTTGTTCCTTTCCTTTTCTAGGAATCAACTGAACTACATCACAGAAGAACTAAGAAACCCTTATAGGTAAGATAACTGAGTCGGGCAGGAGACATCGGATCCAAAAAGCATATGCCACCCCTCCCAGGCAAAAATAGAGGGGCTGTCACCTATTATCCCATAATTCCATTTCAGCCAGTGAATTTTTCATTCTGCCAACCCAGGCCCTCCTCTGTGCAAGGCAAGCGCTCTACCATGGGAGAGAATGGCTCCTTCTAAGCTCATCATCCACCCATGCATAGGGTTTGGCTGTGTTGGGGGCAGTGGACTGGTCACTAAGAGGAAGGAAGAGCTCTAACTGTCTTTATCCCCCACTTCCTTTGCCTGAAACAATTTAATTCTACTGCCCTAGGACCCGGGAGGGCATCTTCTCACTGGGAAATCTCTCCTTCCTGCTGGGCTCTGCCATATCTCAGTCTGGGCCACCACACCGAGAAGGGGGAATGTGCAGGGAGGGGAGAACAGGATGAAGAGGACACAGACCCTCTGGTCTAACCCGGTTCCCTGTCACTGTCTCTCTCAGAAACCTGCCCCTGGCCATCATCATCGGGATCCCTCTGGTGACAGTGTGCTACATCCTCATGAATGTCTCCTACTTCACTGTGATGACCCCGACAGAACTCCTGCAGTCCCAGGCAGTGGCCGTGGTGAGTGTGGAAGGGGCTGTGACCTGTGGGAGAAGGCAAGAGGAGACTGGGAGACGGACAGGTCAGGGGCTCAGCGGAGGTGAGAGGGCAGGGGTTAGGGGAGACAGGAAGGGCTGGTGGGCTCTTCCTGTCTAGCAGCAGCCCCAGCTGCCTGAGCACAGGTAGAGCTCATGGCAAGATGATGTGGCTCAAGAACCAGGGCTGGGTGTTTGACAGACAGGAGGAAGGAGAGGGAAATGTGCAGGGTGTGAATTCTAATAGTGAGTTGTGGAATCAAAGCCAAATGAAGAGGGAAGAGATCAGATAAGCTGGGCAGGGTGATGCACACCCATCATCCCAGCTACTTTTCAGGCTGAGGCAAGAGGATGACAAGATCAAGGCCAACCTGGGGAACTTACTGAGACTTTTTCCCAAAATAAAAATAAAAAGGACTGAGGATGTAGCTCAGTGGTAGAGCTCCTGGGTTTAATCCCCAGTACCATTGTATACATACACACACACACAAGCACATACACGCAGAAGCTAAAAGAGAAGCATGACAAGTGTTAGCCCAGGATAGGCAACTTTTAGTGCATTAATGAAACCCATTTCAAAATTTTACAAAATTTATAAAGGTCTGGATATGTTGCTCTGAAAAAGTCTGTCGCTTCAATCCTACTAATACAAAAAAAATGTATTGAGCAACAGGGACCAAAATGCATGCATGGATTCTGCATGCTAGAGGCCTCATAGAGTTGGGATAGGACATAAAATGAGTTGGAAACAGCCTACAGGATGGTGGGGGTTACACTTGCACAGGAGATGCAGTTTGTTTAACGCTGTGGGCAGCAACCACCAGCTGGGTTGTTAAGGGGAAGAACAGGATCACGCTGACTGAGCCTCAGGGAAGCCAGAGCACAGGGTGTTGGCAGGATTATCCAATTTCTAAGAGTGATGGCCAGAAGTGGTGGCATTTGAAATTCGTGTCACCACCAAAGAGTCCTGAGTCTGCAGATTGGTAGCACAGACCTCTCATCCTCACATGTTGGGAGACTCAGGCCGAAGGAACCAAAGTTCGACCCCAGCCTGGGCAGCGTAGCAAGATCCTGTCCCCAAATAGAAAATTTAAAAAGGGCTGAGGATATAGCTCAGTGGAAGCTCTGAGTGCAACCCCCAGTGCTGCAATCAATTACTCCATAAATATAAAATCTTGAAATACTGGGAAGAATTTTTCAGCCACTGCTTTCCAGGAGAGGTCCCAGAGGCTGCCCAGGGAGATGAGCTGGGGACCTGAGTTGTCTGGGAGGACAGAGGAGTTTATTTGGACCAGTGGCTCTTGGAGGTTATGGAGGGGAAGAGTCTCAGGATTTGTTTCCTTCTCCTGACAGACCTTTGGTGACCGTGTTCTCTATCCAGCCTCTTGGATTGTCCCACTTTTTGTGGCCTTTTCCACCATTGGAGCTGCTAATGGGAGCTGTTTTACTGCGGGCAGGTAGGGGACCCTGCTGTCACTCTGTTTTCTGATGGGCAGGAGGTAGCCAAGCTGCTGTCAAACTCAGGAGGCCCTGAGTCCCTGGGGCTGGACCAGGTCAAGCACCTCCCAGCCCAAGTGAGAGCCCCAAAATCCAGAGAAGGGATGTGGCTGTACCCACAGGGCAAACTGGCAAAGGAAGATGGACAAGGCCACTTCAGTGGAGCCAAGGTGCCAACTAGGGGGGAAACACAGCTGAGCAAGGGCAGAGGGGGTGACAGGAACAAATGAGTCTTTCATCTCTACATGGAACCTTTCAAACTGCGTTCTTTACATAGTGCTATTCGTGAACATCTTCTAGTGTTCATACATACACAGACTCGCCAAACTTTCCCTAAATAGCCAAAGCTTAGTACTCCAGGGCACAAGTATGTGAGTCTCTCTCATAACTCTCAGAACTCTCTGCCTCAGCTTTATAGCACAAAATGTAAACAGCCAGGCAGACATATGGTATATGCCAGGAATCCCAGTCGCACTCTGGGAGACAGAGACAGGAGGATCCCTACTTAGAGCGCAGCCTGGGAAATTTAATGACTTAGCAAGACCCTGTCTCAAAAATAATTAAATCTGGGAATGTAGGATGGTGTGGCCATAGAGTCAGTTCTTTAGTACTAAAAACAAAAGAACAAGCTATGGTCCTGTTCCAGTAAAACATTACATCAACAGGGGTAGTTTGCCAGTGCAGAGTGGGCTGCTGTAGAGTTCACAGCTGTGTTGTATTCTCTTTGTGCGGCAGTGTGCTCTAACTAACCCTCGCCTCACAGTGGGGGTGGGTCATTTCCATGTTCACAGCAGCTCTCCCATCCTGGAACAGGTCTTTGCTCCGTGTCCAGGCTTCTGAGTGGATGTGTTTTGGAGTGAAACTACCACAGGTTTTTCACTTCAAAACAGCAAAATGTGTACCAGAAAATTATGCTTCTAAAGTGATGTTGGAATACAGTCAGAGGTATCCTTTTTTCAAAGCCATTTTAGAGTGTTCATGTAGAATAATGGTAGTGTGCTTGCCTGTAATGTGGAAGGTCTTGGTTCCATCCCTAGCATCCCCCTGCAAAAAAGCTATTGTAGATTTTTTTGCATTCTGTATACATTTTATCTATTTACTTATTTGAGCTTTTGGAAACCTGGCTTCATTATGTAGTTCAGGCAGGCCACAAACTCACAATCCTCCTACTTCAGTTTCCCAAATGCTGGCATTACAGCCCTTGGCAACACAAGTGCTACTATACGTTGAAAAATAATTGCATATAGAGTAGTGAGATCATATGGGATTTGTTTTTCTGTGCTTGGCTTATTTCACTTAGCCTAATTTTTTATTTACTTATTTAAATTACTTTTTTATATTTTTTAAAATTTTTGAGACAAGGTCTTGCTATGTAGGCCAGGATGGGCTCAAACTCAAAGCCGTCCTCCTGATTCAGCTTCCTGAGTGTTGAGATCACAGGCGAGTGCCACCAAAGCTGGTGGGACATACTGGTTTTAATTCCTTTCCATATACACCCAGAATTGGGACTGCTAGATCTTAGATTCTATTTTTAGTTTGTCGAGGAAGCTTGATTGTCTTCCAAAAAGGCTGTATAATTTACACTCCCACCACCAGGTACCGGGGCTCCCTCTTCTCCACATCCTTGCCGACACTTAGCTTTTGTGTTTTGGAGATGATATCCAGTTTTTGTTTACACTTCTCTGATGCTGTTGAGCACTTCTCTCATGTACCTGTTGGCCTTCTGCATGTCTCCTTTTGAGACATATTTGCTCAAGTCCATGTTATTGAGTAACTGAGTCCCTTACATATTTTGGAGACCAGCCCATTGTTTGATGCATGATTTGCGAGTGCTTCTGTTGGTGAGTTGTCTTTTTTGCTGTGGGTTTCCTTTGTTATGCGGAAGCATTTCAGTTGGATATAATCCAATTTGTCTATTTTTACATTTATTGTATATACTTTTGGGATCATATGGAAAAAAACATTGCCGATTTCAGTTTCCCTCTGTTCTAGTAATTTTACAGCTTTAGGTTTTACTTTTAGATCTTTAATCCATCTTGACTTGAATCTTGTATCAAGAATAATCTTTATATAAGGATCCAGTTTTATTGTTCCTTATGTAGATAGCTAGTTTTCTCATTTCTATATGAGTATTATAATTACCTTTACAATTTCTCAAAAAAGTGGAATTTTGATCTGGACTATGCTGAGTCTATAGATCAATTTGGAGAGGACTGCCATTTTATAATTGAGATTTTAATTTTTTATAAAAAAATTTATAAGTAGTTATAAACATACAGTTCTTGCAATCTTTTATATTTATCTAAAAGTATTTCATATTTTTTCATGCTATTATAAATGTCATTTAGAATTTTTAAAAATCAGTATGCTGGTTACTTTTCTCTCATTGCTGAGACAAAATACCTGACCCTCAAAATTAGGGAAGCAAAGGTTTATTTAGCTTACTGTTTGTAGAGGTTTCAGTTCATATGCAGCAGACTCCAACGGTGGCTCATGGCAGAGGTCAACATTTCATGATAGCAGAAGATAGCAAAAGCAACAAGGGCAAAAAAGAAAGAGCACGAGAGAAGATTCTTTCTGTCCCTTGTATTGTATGTGGGTCACACCCACTTGGGTGTAACACTCATAATGATAATCCCAGCATTGGACCACAAATCAGGCACAAACTCTAGAAGCCTGCCCCCATGACCACATGAGGCTTTGGGGAGACATCCACATACAAACTATAACAATCAGTTTCAAACAGTTTGTTACTGGTATATAAAAACACAACTTGAACAGTTCTGTCTGGTACTTTTATACAGCACTACAAATATCATTTTTAATACCCCAGAAAGTTCCCTCATGCCTAATTACAGTTAATCCTTACTTGTACCTCTGGTCCTAAATGGATCTGCTGCCGCTGTAACTTTGGTTTTTCTCAACACTTTACTTCCTTCTTTCAGATAGCATTGTTTCTGAGACCCAAACCTTGGAACCTCTGGACCATATCCCAGTTTTATCCATTCATTTGGATTATTTCCAGTTTGGACTGTTATGCATAGTTTTGCTTTGTACATTCCTGTGGTTTTTTATGAACAGATGTTTTCTTTTCTCTTGAGGAAGTTCCTGGGGATAGACTTACTAGATCATATAGTAACTTTATGATTAACTTTCTTTTTAGTTAAAAGAAAATCCAGCAGTTCATTTATAGTTTTGAAGTCCCAGAATCTATAGAGATCCCTTTCCCATATTTGTTGTGGTCCAGGAAGTTTATATTCATAATCCCATGGAAATGTTATTGGAATTCTAGCAAGTTAATTCCAATTTAACACTTCCAGTGCAACTCACAGTGAGAATAAAAATACTAAGACATATTTATAGTTATGGAGAGCCAAGGGTTCCTAAGTCCAGCCAGGATGAAAGTTCATCAGAACAAAGTCGACTCAAGGCCTAACCTGGATATTAAATTTGTGAAGGAGAAAGTGGCCAGAGGATGAGTGACTGTGAGAATGGTGGGAATTACATGAGTACTTTGAGCTGGGCTCGCTAGCAGGCCAGAAAGCACTTCTGCAATATGCAGAGAGAAGGATGAACAAAGACCAATCTGCACAATTTAGGTAGCATTTAGTATTTAGACTGCGGTGCTTCTGTTCTGATGTGAAAACCTTTTCTGCCCTGGGAAGTCATAGCCTCTTATCTTGTGGCTGGAACCCAGTTGACAGCCCTGGAGCCATGCTCTTCCTCCTGCCTGACTACCATGTTTTGGCAGTAGTGGGGCAGGGAAACAGCCTGTTACCTAGCTTCAAAGAGTAAGCATCGGTACCTCAGCTAGCCCTATTTATATTGCTTAGAGCTAACTGAAGGAAAAAGGAAATGGCCTAGCCAGTTCTGCACATATCACTATGGGAAGACAGGGCCAGGGTTAGCCAACATGGAGGCAATTGCTCTTTGTTCAAGGAGAGTAGTCCAGGTGGTCCTCCACAAGAATGCCAGATGAATAAAATTTTCACTCTTTATCCAATTATGAGCAAAGAAAAAAATAAAATCCACTTTTATTTATAATATTAAAAGTAGCAGTACAGTGGGCTGAGGGTTATAGTTTAGTAATAAAGTATATGCCTAGCATGTTTAAATTTAGTGAAATATTTAAAAATCTGACTAAAAATTGGGCTATTCATTGTAGAATTGTAAGAGTTCTTCATATATTTTACATAGAATCCTTTATCAGACGTTTGACTAGTCCGTAGCTTCTTCTAATCTGGAACTTATCTTTTTGCTATAATGGTGGTTTGTAACTCGGTGCATAGTAATCAAATAGAATAATGAGATTCTTTATGGCATGTATCAAATTTTGATTATTTTCATCCTCTTTATTCTCATCTTCCTTTCATTCTCTCCATCCCCTTCCATATCTCTAGATTACCTTCTAGTTTCTTATCCTCTCCTGTTTTTTATCTCTAGGTTTTTAGAGGAGAACATGCAAATTTTAACTTTATGAAACTGGCCTATTTCACATAATATGATGCTCTCCAGTTCTATTCACTTTCCTGAAAATGACATTTGTTTCTTTTTTATAGCTGAACTACATATCCACCTATCTCACTCTTATTTATTTATTTATTTATTGGTACTGGAGATTGAACCCAGGACCTCATGCTTGCCAGGCAGGCGCTATGTTGCTGGGTTAAATCCCCAGCTATCTTACTTTTATTGTATGACGTTTTTGATGTAAATGTTTCTAACTTTGGTAAAGTCCAGCTTATCAAGGTTTTTATTGCACATTCTTATTGTCTTTGCTTAATACAAGTTCACAAAGATTTTCTCCTTAGAGGTTTCTCCTTTAGCCATTCCATTTAAATATACAATCCAATTTGAGTAATTTTGGGAGGGGGGTTGAAATAGTGTCTCATTATGTATTTCAGGCTAGCCTTAGACTCACTATGTAGCCCAGGCTTTTTTCCTTTAATATTTTTCGCTTTAATATATATAGTTTTTCCTTCACCATTTTAAACATAGACTTTCAGATAACTGAACTGTCAGACGAGTTTTGAGGAAAAGTGCCACTTGTTTATGTTTGCTAATTCATCTTTCATATATTTTATTTTATTTATATTTTGGTACTGGAGATTGAACTCATGTCCTGGCACTTGCCAGGCAGGTATTGTGTTGCTGGGCTAAACCCCCGACGCTGCATTTTATGTTTGAGACAGGTCTCATTGTGTAGTTTCAATAGACTTTGAATACCCTCAGTAGCCCAGGCAATTCTCCCACCTTAATGTTCCAAGTGCAGAGATTACAAGTTTGCACAAAATCTCTATTCATCCCGGTTTGGTGACCCCACTGAACCAGGATGTACCTAACCCCTCACTCTTCAAAAATTCACTGCCCTCCAGGGCACAGAGTCACCCAAAGATGACCAGTCAGCACTCAGTTCCCTTCCCTGTGAGCCCCTGGTGACACTCAGGTCACACTTCCTCAGCCCCTCTGTGTGATTCTTCTTTCAGGCTCATTTACGTCGCAGGCCGGGAAGGACACATGCTTAAAGTGCTCTCTTACATCAGCGTCAGGCGCCTCACGCCCGCCCCTGCCATCATCTTCTATGTAAGTAGGAACCGCACCACAATGCCTGTGCTACAGGCAGAGGGCCCTCAGGTCCAGGGACGAACAAGTCCTCGCTTGCTAACCCTTCTCCCAGTGGTTTTCACAGTGTTCTGGGGTGTTGTGACCAGCAGTCCTGTCCAGGCTCTTATTACCCTATTCAAAGAACTGGAAGGGACAAAGAACATAAATGTTTAAAAAGTTCATTGAAGGTGCTGAGGTTGAGATCAAAGGTAGGGAAAGAAGCGTGCTCTGCAGAGCAAGTGTGAGCCAGATGAAAAGCTCAGAGAGTCTGAGAGATTAATGGCCGCCATCTTTCCCACCCATTACTTACCTTAGGGCCACCCCAGGCAGGGCTCTGTGAATGCTTCTGGGATATGACGCACTGGTCTCTGTGACTGACAGGTCACTTCCAACTGTCCTTTCACCTTGCCATGGCCTCGTCTTCTACCTTAGAAGGAGCCAGGTTCCCTTATTCCTTGATGTGAAATATAAAAAGAATTCTCAAGACAATTGAATTTGTTCTACTTTTGTTCCTTTTTATGAATTTACTCACAAAAGTTATTGTTGAATCCCCCAAGCTGGTACCATTCTTCTTCTTTCATGTGTGTTCATTTATTTTTTATGAGCTCCTGAGAAAAAGACATATACAGTGTATGGGGTAGGAGAACAAGGCATTTTACAGGGTATGCCAACAGCAGTCTTTTGGTACAGTCTAATAACTTGCATTTCCTGAGGTCATTTTCCTCACTAAGGGGAGGTTTTTAGTGGTAAATTGTCTTGGTCATGTGCAGCTGTTCTGAGCACACAGACACCTTACACATTGCTAGCTTGGATTGTTCCACTGTCCCCTGTCTCCAGGAGAGAACATGCCTTTCCTGTACATGTACACTCTGAAGATAGGAACTTTACCCAGTGACAGAAAACAAGGTCCAGGTGACTGATGTGGTCATGGTCAGACCTGGGTTTCAGTCTAGGGCTAATCTAGGGCTCTTGTCCATAATGAAGACTCTGGAATTTAAATCCATCATCATGAAACTGGTATCATATATATACAGATTTTGGCTAGTATTTTCCTTATTTAAAATTATAATTTCAAAGACTCAAAAATTATTCAAGATCTTCCCACCAGGTTTGAGAGAAAACATCTATCGCAGCCAAAGTCACATTCAACCCCAACTGCAGTGGGAATCAGGGGAAGTTTCTTGCATGCTGATTGGTTTATCCATAGGAAAACCTGCTTCTTCAGACTTCTATGAGGTAATAAGATGAATGTTTTACACACTAATGATATAAGAATTTGTTCTTCTTTCTATTAGGGTATAATAGCAACGATTTATATCATCCCTGGTGACATAAACAGTTTGGTGAATTATTTCAGTTTTGCTACATGGTTATTTTATGGAATGACCATTGTAGGACTTGTTGTGATGAGGTTTACAAAGAAAAACCAGGAAAGGCCTATCAAGGTAAGTTGCATGCCCAAATGTCACAAGCAGCTCAGGTGACTAGACTGAAGACAAGCTTGCTCCTTCCTACCTGACTCTACTCTGTTTTTGAGTGTCATCTTTTACATAAGAATTTATTATGCATTTTACACTATAATTTATGATCCAATTAACTACCTAGTCATTCATTTTACTGAGCCATCACGTCACAAAGCTATCAAGAACAGTTATGGCACTTTCCATTTACTGTGGGGGTCTTCTGAACACTGGCCCTGGGCCTATTCCTAAGTTCACAGTCTCCTTTGTATTCCTTCTCATTCCCTGTATGACTGATGTGATCTCTATGCCAATGAAGACAAAGCAGCATTTATTTTATTTTGCTTATATTCAAGATTAAAAATCCCCAAGTAACTGTGCTATTTAATTTTTAAGATAACAAGAGTTAGGCAAATGACCAGGAAAAGAATAAGGATACGTCTTGAAGTCATTCAGTGCCTTTGCATGAAGCTACAACCTCAGTACTTTTTTCCCCCTTTTCATTCTTATTGAGACACGATCTCACTAAGTTGTAAATTGCTCAGACTGGATCCCAGTGATTCTCTTGCCTCCACCTCTCACAGTGCTGGCATTACAGATATATACCCTTAGCTTTAGCTTTTGTTTCAGAAATCTGTCTAATGGTCTTCCTTGCACTGGCTCTGAACCTCTACCATGTCCCTGGAGTTAGCTGAAATGAGGGTAGGTTGCCTGGAGTCAGACACTCTCATCTTATTCAGCTTACCCAGTAGGTAAGACCATGGGTGGTGGTAGTATTTGTAATTTGCATAAAATCCATCAGAAAACTAGGCAGAATCACTAAGAGATAAAGGGAAAACCCCACAGCCAACATCTTCAACACAAAAGAAAGAAATGCTGTGCTGCCATAGTCCAGAATCTGCTTGAAAGCACCACAGGCCCCAGTGGGGGGCGCACTGGGCGGGTTCCCAGAAGACCCGAGGCCTGGAAGTGGGAAGCAGGCAGCAGGGCTGCCTCAGGCCCCAGGTGTCCCGGAAGTTCCCTGCAAACGCTCCTGGCCAGGATGCAAACACTTCCAGAACCACTACAAACAGTGCTGGGCACAGAAACCAAACCAAACATGGAAGCACACTGGGACCCAGGAAACGGAGCTGGGGACACACATCTCCCGTAGGGAGCGGGGAGCACAGAGAGGCTGCGCCACGTTCAAACAGTTTAGGAAACAGAACTGTTCCACAACTGTAAGCAAAAAGGAACACAAGAGCAAAGAAGCGTTCCAGGAAAGAGGACTGGAATGGGAAATGAAAACACGTGAAAGTGAAGTGAAGGGATTCGAGGGGAAATCAGTAAAGGAAACAGAAAAAGGAGGCTGTAGTACCTGTACAGTGAGAGTCCGTGAAGAAGAGGAGAGTGACATCAGTTCTCGAGAATTCCACAAATTACAGATCAAGAGTATTTCCTGAGGGAGAAGGAATGAGTGGAGGGAGGGCTCCACCCTCCACGGACACAGTGGGAGGCCCACAGTGCACCTGGAAGACAGGCCAGGAAGTGCAGGCTGACAGAATGACTCGGTGTGCAAACTGCCTTGGGCACCCACTCCCGCTTTCCTGTTCCACCGCCATTCCCAGTTCACTTACAAAGAAGAAGAAGCAGAAGAGGAAGAGGAAGAGGAAGAGGAAGAGGAAGAAGAAGAAGAAGAAGAAGAAGAAGAAGAAGAAGAAGAAGAGGAAGAGGAAGAAGAAGAGGAAGAAGAAGAAGAAGAGGAAGAGGAAGAAAGAATACTAGCATCAGTCCTTTTGTCATCAAAATTTCATGTCAGAAGACAATGGAACAACATATATCAGATACTCAAATGAAACAAAATGTAAGCCAAATCCAAGCAAACTGACCTTAAACAATAGTTACTAGGATGAAAGGATTCAAGTTACATACTGTATGTGCATTTCCTGGGAATCACGTGAAGAATGAGCTTCAGAAACCATGAAGTCTGCCAGGTGTAGTAGTTCATGCCTATAATCCCAGCACTCTGGAGGCTGAGACAAGAGGATCACTGTGAGTTAAAGACCAGCCTGGGCTACAAAGTAAGCTCAAGTCCAGCCTGAACTGCATAGCAAGGTCTTGTCTCAAAAAGATGAGAGAAAGAAAGAAAGAAAGAAAGAAAGAAAGAAAGAAAGAAAAAAAAGAGAGAGAGAGGGAGGAAGGAAGGAAGAAAGAAGTAATTGGCATAAGGTGAGTCTTTAACTACAGAGCTAAAAGTAAGTGATGGTGACAGGATGATATGTCAATAGCATGCAACAAAAATGGAAAAAAGGAATGATTTAAAAAGTATGTGCCAATGTAGGAAACAATGTCAAATAAACTTCCAATTAAAGACATGAAACTTGGTACGGTGGCCCATGCCTATAATCCTACCACTCGGAGTGAGAGACAGGAGGTTTTCAAATTTGACCTAAGCCTGAATTACTTAGGCTCTATTTCAAAAAATAGAAGGCTGACTGTAAAAATTAGTGTGGAGATTCCTCACAAAACTAGGATTGGAAGTCTCATGTGACCCAGCTATTCCCCTTCTGGGTATCGTCCCAGAAGAATTAAAAACACCATACCAAAGCAATATATATGCATACCTGTTTATAGCACCACAGTTTTTAATAGCTAGATATTGGAAACAACCTAAAATGCCCATTGAATGAAGAATGGATAAAAAAGATGTATTTTTATGCAACTACTCAGCCATAAAGCAAGATAACTTTGAGGTTTTTTATAGGTAAGTGGACATAATCTGAGACCATATTCATAAGTGAAATAAATCTGACACACATGTAAACATTGTATTGTCTTACTAAGTGTGAGAAGCTGAAACTATTATATGTAGTTGTTACCACTAATTATTGTGTTTTGAAAATTTTTTCTCTTTAAAATAAAATGATTTGAAATAAAGAGATGGGGATGTAGCTTAGTGTGAAGATCCTAGGTTCTGTACTAGTAACACAAACACGTATTTACCTAATACAACATGTGTTAGCTTACATTATTCATATATATTTGCTGTGTTTTAGCTATATTTGAGAATACCAGTTGGGAATTTGTGGTTTCAAATAAAGTGTGACATTTTCCCCATTGAAAATAAGATAACTAGTTGGCTAGGAGTGTTTTCCCACAGAATGTCACCCTTTGAGGGCGCAAGAGTGACAGTAAGAAGACATTTATGGTTAGAAATTTAACAAAACAGCAGGAGACAGTGGAGACAAAACTGATCTACAGTATGAGTAAACTGATTTATTAGGCTTAAAATAGTCATTATGAGAAAAAGATTTTCCAGGCAGATCTACAAAGATTGGGAAATTAAAAACCAAGGACACGCAAAGGATTATCAGGTTAAAGAAAAAAACAGAGAACAGGAGCAGACCAGCACCCAAGCCCAAAGTACAGCTTACAAAGACAAAGACAACTAGGGTGAAAGCTAAAATTCACACTGAAGAGAGAAGTTCTAAAACCTCTTCTTCGTACTACACAGCAAATTTATTCACAAAGCAGAAACTACAGGACACGTGAGGAAAACACACACTGACCACAGGTACCTGGAAAATGCTCCTTCAACACCTCCTTGTAAAAGTGGCTGAAGCATCAGGTATGATCACAAAGCAGATCTCAGAGTTTATGTCACAGCCTCCCTGCCACCAGCAGACGCCTCAGGTGTACCCCGGACCTGGCTGAAGACTGATGATCTTTCATGGCAAAAAGAAAACCCTGGTACTTCACAAACACTGTAAACCACACAACTTACTTCTCTGCGGTGGAACAACACAGAGACCACTAGAAAAAGTATGCTTTTAAGCCAAAGTACAAATAAGAAGTGAAAATATACAAATTTCTAAAAATGAATAAAAAGATGACATATACTCTAAGAATGTAAGCTTCGACATTTCACTTAAGGTTTATATTGGTGAAAATGAAAGAAATAGAAAACAGGCAACCAAAAAGCAAGAGAAAGAACAACAAAATTTAAAAGGATTGAGTGAACTTAAAAGAGCTCAGGGTGTTAGAAAGGAGGAAAACAGCAATGAATGAGGAATGGCAGCAGCCAGACTGGCATTTTGAAAGTTTTCCTTTTTAAATGCTCTAGAAAAAATACTGAGATTATGTGAACTTTAAAATCTCCCATGATTCTAATTCTTTGGAGGGCCATCTTAGCAAATTTTCTTTTCCCAGGAAACTGATATTTTATCTAGATGTTCAAAGTTGCCCATAGGATCGATGTTTTAAAAAAACCTTCCTATGTCTGGAGTTTATGTCTCTGATTTTTGGGTTTGCTCCCTTTCCTTAGGTTTTAAAAATTATTTTCAAGTTATTTGTACATACCAGGCATAGTGGTGCACATCTGTAATCCTAGCACTCAGGAGACTGAGGCAGGAGAAGTGCTGTAAATTTGAGCCAGCCGGGGCTACAAAGTGAGTTCAAGGCCAGCCTGAATTTCATAGTGGAAAGCTGTCTCAAAAAGACAAAAATGTTATTTGTGCAGAAAATGACTTTGATACCAAACCTTATCAAGATAGCATATAAGACACTGACCCATCTCATTTATGACACATTAAAAACATATCACAGATAAGTTTAACCTATGCAGCAGTGGCTAAAGATTATAAGGTCCACTAATCTTAATTTATGATGGATATAATTCACCCCACTGACATCTTTGCGGAAAACTCCTGTCATCACCATAGATGAAAAATAAAATCCAACACACATTAATAATAAAGAAATAAGCAGGTATTTATTGTGGCCTTAATATGCACTCTGCACACATGGCAAAAGTTGTCATTTCATAAGTACAGAGGTCCTTGTTAAGGTCAGGTATAAGAACGACTTCTATTTCTATTATTTAGCATTGTTTTAAGGATATTAGCAAGGCAATGAGAAGGAAACTGATCTCTAAGCTGGTTCTGGTGGAGCATACCTGTAATCCCAGCAGCCTGGGAGCCAGAGGAAGGATGATGGTGAATTAGAACCCAGCCTGGAGAATAGACCCTGTCTAGAAAAACAATATGCATGGATGCAATTATCAAGCATTGGGCCTCTCTCTGTCTCTCTACTGGTCTATAGGAAAGTCAGGCAACACTTAAGTGACACCCTGAGGAAGCAATCACCCAGGGATAAAAAGCAGACACTGTATAGGACAAACTATCACATTTCACCAACAAAACAGAAACATCTTTTTCCGTTTGTTCATCAATGAGGTGCATACCTGACCCCTGTAACTTAGTGGAGAAGTATACTTCAGCTGACATTTTAGTTAGTGGTTAGCTGGCTCCAAGGCAGGGTGGCATGGCAGAGGGGCACAGTGGAGGAAAGGAAGCAGAGAGATGGTCCAGGGAAGGAGGGAGTTAGATACTGCCTGGTCTCACCCACAAAGACCCCTCTCTCCAGGCAGGCCTGCACTCCTAACAGCAGGTAAGTCATGGTGCCTTTCAAAGGTCCTGCCTATGATTCCACAGGGACTTAGGGGGACACATAGAAGCTGCAACAAGTGATAATATTTAAAAAAAAAAAAGAGGGTAAGGAATAAACTGGTTTAAAGAAAGAAGTTTTCACTACTTAAGAGAAATATTTGCTAATGGTTAAAATACCCTGATGTCTAGTGTAGTTTTATATTCTTGGAAAAACAAAAAGGTAGAGTAGATGATTGTCAAAGTTACATTAAAATTACAAGTGATTGTCAAAATTACATTAAAATTCTTAATCTGGGTGTGTTGGCATAGCCTATAATCCCAGCATTTGGGAGGCTCAGGCAGGGGGTATGGCCACAAATTGGTGGCCATCTGCCCATGTAGTGATTTCAAGGTCAACCTGAACTACACAGTGAGATCTGGTGGCAAAATCAAACAAACAGGGAGAAAGATAATACAAAAATTCTTGAAATTGGAAGAGTAGTACCTGGAGTTCATTACACTCTTTTATGGATTTGTTCTTTAATGAAAAAAACTACAGGAAATAAAACCACCACCAAGGGCTAAAGCATGACCCCTGTTGGCTGTCTCTTGCAGGTGCCCATTTTCATCCCCATCTTGGTGACTCTCGTATCCGTGTTTTTGGTTCTGGCCCCCATCATCAGTAATCCCGCCTGGGAGTACCTCTACTGTGTGCTGTTCATCCTGAGCGGCCTTATATTCTACTTCCTTTTCGTCTATTACAAGTTTGGATGGGCTCAGAAAATCTCCAGTAAGTATCAGCAGGAGGCTGCTTGAGGTTAGTGAAGGGCAGCCAGGCCCAGCAAAGCCCGCCTCCCCTGTCCTCATGCCTCTCCTCACAGAGTCTCACACAGCTAGCAGGCTTCACCTTCTCAGGACCTGGAACTTTCTCCCCCACTGCAGGCCTCTGGGTCCAACCTTGGGCTCCTTTGTTCCTTTTTGTTTTTGGTGGGGCACACACAGAGGGAGTCACGGGGTTGAGACAGGGTCTAAGTTATGTAAGCTGGCCTCGGAATCCTGATGTTCCTGCCTCGGCCTCCAAGGTGCTGGGATTACAGTAGGCACTACCTCACCTCGTCTTGATCCCTGCCAATGACATAACAAGCAGAAAGGAAAAGCACTATTTTCTTTTTAATTGTAAAATACTTTACCATACCATTTCCTTTTAATCCATTGTTGAGCAGGTGGGTCAGTGGTATGTAATACACTGTCATCTTCAAGCCACTTTTCTTCTGAGTGTTATGGAAACATCGTCTAAGGCACTCGGCAGCATTCCAAAAACCCCCAGTGAGGGCCTGAGCCTCCCCTCACCGAGGACCTGCAATGCTTCTCCTCATCTGCCTTAGGGCAAATGTTTATTGAGTTAGCTAGGTTAGCCTCTCTCTGTGCCTCTAAAAAGAAAGCACTATGGCCAAGCCTGTGGAAAGAGACTCTGAACCATACCTATGATTAACAGCTGGGTACTATATCATATTCACAATGATCTGTCTCCTACAGCAGCTCAGTTTCTGGAAACCTTCAGGGCTCCTGAGCAACCTCAGTGGTCTATTTTCTTTTCTATTTAGAGAAAAAAAAAACAGAAAAAAAGGTAGGATAATACAGAATTTCAAAAAAAATAACAGTAAGAAATCACTAGTTGATATATTACATATTGTTATCTCAGAAGTAATTGTTACAAAATCAACACATAAGTGGACAACCAATGACAGTACAAACTACTGTTTGAACAAAACTTAGTAGTATGATTATCTTGCATACTTATATCCTTTAGAGCACTTTCGTTCTCTTTCATTATTACAATATCTATTACAAATTTTGGATCTTATTACTATTACAGTTTATTTGTTATACTAGAGACACAATATTTACAAATGTTTGTCTGATTTATTTCACTTATGATGGTTTCAAGTTGCCTCTTTACCTATGAAGGCCTCAAAATCATCCTTTTTCATAGCTGAGTAGTATTACATTGTATAAAAATACCACATCTTTTTTCATCCATTCTACCATTGATAGGCATTTTGGTTGTTTCCGAGATTTAGGTATTACACATTGTACTGCTATAAACATGGTGCACATATATAACTGTGACATAACCTTTTCAATTTTTCTGGGAAAATACCCACTAGAATAGCTAGATTGAATGGAATTTCCAACCCTAGTTCTTTGAGGAATCTCCCAGTGAGCTATCTTCTGTCTCTCCTGTGAGTGCCTTGAATTGAGGCTGTGCAGTTTAATCCTGGATCCAGCATTTTGTCCTGTGGACTCCAGTTACTTCCTGTTTTGTAAATGTGATTAAAAACTTGTCTCTTTCCTGCCCCTCTTTCTGGTCAGGAAAGTAAACCCTGCAGGCCCTCCTATGTCATTTTTGTTTATATACCTGCAACTTAGAAAATGAAAATAACCATCCATCCAACCTTCCATCATCTATATAAAACTTAGAGAAACATGAAAGAGCAAACTCAACCAGAAGGCAGGGAAGTGGAGCTGGGACTCAAGCACAGCTCAAAGTGGGTGAGCTTGCCTTTCTTCAGAGCCTTTCTCTGCCAGTCTCCTCAGCTGGAGAATCAGGGACCATCACTTACCTGACAGAGGTGCTAGTGGAAAGACAGAATTCAATTTTTGTTCCTTAGCAACGTGAGGGGGGGGGGAAGCAAAAGCAAAACATGGCCATGTCATTTCCTCAGGGACTTCCTTTCCTGTATAGTTCTTTTTACCCCCAAACTCTATGCTGATTTTAACCTAAGCCGATAGGCTGCAGGTACACATCTATAGAAAGGAACGAAAATTAGTAAAGCATCTGTTTTCCCCTCCTGCCTTGGAAATGTACTTGGATTTGATCAGAGTGACAGAGAATCTAAGTAGGATGATTGCAACCTAATGGTACAAAACATGGTTTGCTTCTCAGCTCTGGCACACTTAACCAAGCCCTTCCCTCCAGAAACTGGTAAGCACTGGGTGAAAGTAGTAAAAAACCAGTTTGTATTTTAAACTAAAGTCATTGTAGTGACTTTAGACTAGTCACTACTTGGTCAATGATAGTAAATACATCCACATAAGTGAGTCACTCATGTTTCTCCTACTAGGATAAATTGTTGTGGACAGCAACAAAATGTTTAGCAGGTTCCCAGGTCCATAATGGGAAGTGATTTCCAAAGAACCAGTGCATCTAGGATAGTTCTGATTTGCACTAAACCCCAGCTTCCTGAGTTCAGGGTCTAAGTGGGACATATTACCACAGGGTTAAGAAGGGTATCACTGCTTAACAGCAAGCACAGGGAGTCCTTTTGGCTACCTTTTTCTAACTGCACTGATTTGCTGACTTTTGTTGCAGAGCCAGTTACCATGTACCTACAGATGTTAATGGAAGTTGTCCCACCAGAGAAACACCTGGAGTAACAAATGCATCTTATGCAGTTCAAAGCTATGATTTATTTTTATAAGCAATATTTGTGATTATTTCTTCCTTTCTCTTACAAAAGGTGTTCTGATGTTTATATTATTTTTAGATAGCCTTAATTTATGAGTGTGCTTCTAGATAGGAAAAGTGATAGGTGTTTGCTAAAGTTATCCAAAGAAAACCACCCTAACAGATGGCCAGTGGCAGGCTGAATAAAACCTACCACCATTCTGGTGATAACTATTAAATAAGGACACATCACATTTACTTAAACACAGGATGAGATTGGCAGTTTAGCTCAGTTGTACAGCACCTGCTCAGCATGTGTGTAAGGTGCCGGATTCCATCATCAGCACTGCAAGTACATAAATGAACTGAATTAAATTAAAACATTTCTTGTACTCCAGTAATATAAAGATAACAATATATAATGTATTACTCAATTATCTTGTTTTGAAATTTTGTATTTTTTTCTTTAAAATAAAGTATTTCAAACTCAGTGATCTATTTTCTATAGCTCTATTTTATAAAAAGCAGGTAACATTTCTGAGATACACACATGTACAGATATTTTACTGGAAAGTGTTTTAACGAGATTTTTAGAAGTACATTTTATTCTGACTCTTTTACCTCTCAAAAGTACTGCCATCTCTGCACTTATCATGGGACATACGCAGCAGGTCTATGCTAGGCTGCGTCAGAATGCACTCACTGCAAACCAAAACCACTGTAAGCATGTGTGACAATTGTCAGTTTCACCATGGGTTGCACCATCTGCTTACAACAGCTTTCACTGACATTTTAGTCACAGAAAGCACAGTGAAAAAAATTTTATGTTCTGTGGCAATCAGAGAAAATAGTTTATAAACATAAAGAGTAACATTTCTGGGAGAACAATGAAATTTTATTAGAGATTTGCTGCAAAAGTCATCCACATCACAACAGATTATGTGAGCAATTTTAGAATAGGTACTACACTTTTACCTTGCATTTTAGAAATTTTCCAAATTTCTAAACACATACATTCCAACACATAAACACATATTCAAACATATAAACACATTCCGAAATTACAAGCCATGTGTTTTAACAGCAGTATAGAAAACCAATTCCTGTTTAGTCAACATTCTATGTCCTACAAAACACTATTCAGTTTTAAATATTATAACACTTGAGTGTCTGTAATCAAGATTTAAATCCCCAACCCTTCTGCCCCAGTGTCTCCAATGACTGTTAGTGGACCACAGAATCTGCACTGTGTCTTCTGTGAGATACGCAGGAGCACTCCAGGACCTGCCAGAGCCATTCCTAAGAGAATCAGCACAACAAGCTGGTGCCCTCCGGACAGAAAGCCTCGCTACTGGCCCAGGCCCTCACCTTTAGGGTGACCACTGACAAGGATGAGCTCTGAGTGGAAATCTTTCCAGCAAACATCAGGACTCTCAACTTTGCAAGCCACAGTGATACTGCCAACCTATCAGAGTTACAGGGGAGCAAGGACTCACTCCTGGCAGGCAGGGGTCTGACATCTGTCAAGTTCCTGCAGGTGAGGTCCTTGCCCAGCACCACTCTGGGCACTGCCTATGGAGAAGAGAGGCTGTGCATGAGCTCAGCATCTTATTTCACAAATGAAGAAACAGAGCTGGAGCAGGACCCAGCCCTGCTCATGGGACAGGGTCATGTGTTTACCTCAGTTCAAGCAGGGCTCTCACCTGGGAGGTACAGGAGCCTGAGCACCCACACTTTGTGATGTGACAAAAAGAGATGTCTTGCAGTGGTTGCGTACCTGTCATGTTCTGTCAGTGTTCCGTTTCACTTCTAGAGGAAGCCAACAGATGTTGAGGAAGTGCACAGGGGTTTGTTTTGGGGTGGGGTGGGGTGCTGGGGGTTGAGCTCCGGTATACTGTACCCCTGAACTAGGTCCCTATCCCTCTGAGACAAGGCTAGCCTTGAACTTGTGATCCTCTTCCCTCAGCCTCAAGTGTGTAAGGTTTCCATTTTCTTGTCTTTTTGAGACAGGGTCTCACTATGCAGTACAGAATGGCCTTGACCTCACTTTGTAGCCCAGGCTACTCTTGAACTCACAGCAATTCTCTTACCTCAACCTCCTGAATACTGGGATTACAGGCATGCACCACTACAGCCAGCTAAAGTTTCAATTTCTTTCCTTTCTAACTTTTTTAAATCTGGGAAGAAATCTAAAGATGAAAGGCCAGCCCCAGGCTATTCCTGCCTTAAGTGCCAGCCAAGAACTCTCCCAAGAACTCTCAGGATCCCAGGTGCTACAAACTTACCAAGGGTGCTCATCACCCCCACTGTTCTGAAGGTTATCTGCAGGCACTGCACAGGTTCCCAGTATGTTGCCAAAAAAGACCCCTTAGTCCAGCATGGAAACTGCAGCTCATATGCTGTAGAGGGCTGTTTGTATCACTGAAGGCTCTAAAAGGTCCCTTTGCAAGTCCCCAGTGATATCTGCAACTCATAGCTTGACCTGTAGAATAAGCCTGGGTCTCACTGGCCTCGCTAAAGCCATCCCACAATGTCCTTGGGAAAAGATGTGCACTCACTTCTCTCAGTGCTAGCAGTGCCTGGAGAACAGGAAAAGTGTCAGTACTTTTACTCAGTCAATGGCCACGTCTGTGAGACAGCTGCCTCTATTTACAAGCACAAGACAGGTTTTGAACATTGTACCAAACATAAAGGTAGGTCTAAATGACAAAAAACGTGTGGGCTGACTCCAGACCAGAATGTCACAGTTTGCTCTCTACCACTTAAAGCAAAGCTGAGCTTGTCACGATGTGTATGAGAGGCAGCGAGGGGGATACACGGTCCAGCCTGGGCTTGGACCAGTCCTGCACTCTTTGCTTCTTCCACATTTGACAACCAGCATCTTCTTTTATAACTTGTTTTTAGGTGGACTGAAAGTTTTTCACCATTAGCCATCCTAGTGCCACCAGCCAACACTTAGTAGAGTCTTATCCTTCAGGTGAAAAAAAGCCTTGGCTATGAATGCTTGTTTTCTTCTCTCCCAGTCACTCAGCGATGTCCACTATGTTCAGAGGCCTCTGGCTGCTCTTCAAGGCTTAACGCACATTTTCATTCACTGTCACTGTCCTCGGAGTCATCTGCACTGCTGTCACTGTCTTCAGTCACCTCGGCCACTTTGCAGGACAGGTTTCGAGCACTTACAACTACAAGAGGTAGATGTTCCATAAAATGTGAAAGTACAGATTCATTAGTTAACCACCTCCCCACCCCACCCCCACCCCCCCGTGATTTTGGCCAATGTAGAACTAAGAATACCTGTAAAACTGGTATAGGAAGGGGTGGGTTGGTAAGTACTCTTACGGGAGCATTTAGCACCAAGATCAACCACAAAGAGAAGGAAATTTCTAAGGGCTTTTAGCCAAGCAGCCCCTTTGCAGAGTCTGATTCCCTCAGATCAGCTGGTATTCCCTCCCTGCTCCCTCCCACCCTGGCCTCAGGCTCCTCCCCAGGCAGCAGGCCCTTCCCATCTCACCTTCAGGGAACAGGCCCTCCTCTCTGTCCTCATCACATTCTTCCCAGTGGTCAAAGTCAAAAGCCACATTAGGATTCTGTTCAATACAACATTTTACACAAGTGAGCAGATTTGACAGCCACAGGTGAAGACCTCCAACCACAGTTCACAACGCACCTTCTGCCGGAGTAAGCCACACCAGGATCCCCTTTGCTCCTTTGCAAGAGTGATGACAGGCTCCTCATTTGTAATTACACACTTGCAGTCTTCTCTTATGATGTTGGCCTGCAGCTCCAAATCAGCCAAGTAAAATTTGTCTCCCACCCAGGCACTAAGTTAATAAAACGAAACTAAGTTAGCTTGCTAAAATGTTGGAGATTTTTAATTTATTAGTAAATAAATATAAACCTACCTGAAAACAACTCTATTTCTGAAGTATTCACATTTATAATCCTTTGCATTCCTTATTTTTATCTTTAGGATAACAACATCATCTTTTTGGAACCACTTTACTTGAGGGTGAAAGCTAAAAAAGGAAGAGAAATGCTTATACATTGTCAGTGTTCAGCCCCAGTGGAGGGAAGCAGGTTCTCCAGCAAGGACAGACATACCTTTTCAGTTGTGGCTGCAATGCTCCACTAATGGGAATATCTCCAGGGTTTTCAGACAAAGTTTCTGTACAAAATCATATAGATATGTACATATAAACCTTTTTGCACCTTAAGCCGATTTTCAGATAAGGAATTACTAATGTAAGAATATACATTTCATAGTAAACTGACGTACCCAATTGCAAAGAATAATGAGAGAAAATGGAAGTCAGTTATATTGATATAATGTTTTAAAATAAAAACACAGGAGGCTGAGGCAAGAAGATCACTGTAAGTTTGAGACCAGCCTAGGCTACAAAGTGAGCTCAAGGCCAGCCTAAACTTCACAGTCACGTCCTGGTTCAAAAAGACAAAAAATAAATGAAATTTAAAAAACAAAAAACAAGCTTTAACAAATATTAAACAATTAGGAACCACAGTTACTTTTTGGAGTCACCACATTATGACAGCTATCTATGGGACATAAATGCACAGGCTGCCTTGTCAGGGCAGTGCCAAAGATGATTTCCAGAACACAGACATCATGCTGCAGGAAAAAATGCTGAAGATACATTTTCTAAAACAATGCAATTTAATCTCTGTGATCAAAGACACTTGAGGCTACCATCCAAATCCCCAATGTTCACAGCAGGTTAATTTTTTTTTTTTTTTTTGGTACCAGGGATTGAACTCATAACCTTGCACTTGCTGGCAGACATTTGTGCCGCTGAGCTAAATCGCTGGCTGTTCACAGCAGCTTTGACCACAATAGTCCTACTTGAAGACCCCAACACCTACCAACACACTGTGGTGTATTTGTATCACAGAATAGAACTTAGCAAGTTTAAACACAGTGCTTCTTGCAATAATACAGATGAATTTCATAGACATAATGTTGACTGAAGGAAGCCAGTAGAATATATACTGCATGCTTCCAATTCTGTGAAACTAATGGTGACAGGACTCAGAAGACTGGTCACTATAGAGGATTCTGAAATCTCTCAATGGCATGATCTGTGTGTGGCTGATGGACACGTGCACATGCACAGACCTCATGCCCACTTTGCGTCTGTGACTTCCCTGGCTATACACTGTGCTTCAAATAGCAAAAATGGAAAACAGCTGCAAGAAGATGCCACTGCAGTGAACTATCTAAGCAGACACAGTGAATTGCCTAAGTGATACCCGTTTTTGTCATCTCTGCATTTCATCTAAAGGAAAGCCTAAACATGAGGAACCTCAAACATGAATGATTCATTAACCATCTTTAAATAAGAAGTACCAACCAGATGTTGAGTTTTCTGATTTTGTCTCAGAGCCAGTCTCTTTTTCTACACCAGAGTCCTCTTGCTGTACTCCCTGCAGACAAGTGGTATTTTCTGCTGATTCTGAGGGAGATGTTGAGAGAGGTGTCCTGGACAGAAGAGGCAGAAGTTAACTCTTAGATTTCTAGAGATGCTTGGCTCAAAGAGGGGGATGGCAGCTGCTAAAAAACTGAAGTTCTTGTGACCATGAAGTTGATGACTGACTTACCAAGGTTGAGACATGACTGACCAGCTCTGCTCACAACTGTGCCATGCATCAAACACTGAGTTGGTAACAGATAGGAATTATCAAGGAAAAGAATTTGCTAATTTACTAAAATAATTTTCCTTCCAAATTCACTGAACTTTTGAGAGTAGCAACATACACTGCTATCTCCTTTCCAACAGGATAACAGAGCAAAAAGTGCAAATGCAGGGTTGGAGATTTAGCTCAGCGGCATAAGTGCTTACCTGGCAAGTGTGAGGTCATGAGTTCAAACCCCAACACCAAAAAAAAAAAAAATCAAGTGAAAAGGCAGTTTCCCTTCCTTGCCTACCTGTCTCTCAGACTACCTTCCTAGAGATCATTCCATTACCAGCCAGGTCAACTGCTAGAAGTGTTCTTTGAATAAAAAAGCAAACACTATTTATGCCTTTTTTTTTTTGGTACTAGGAATCAAAAACTCAGGACCTCGTGCTTCCCAGGCAGGTACCGTTCCACTGAGCTATGTCCCCGGCTCTATTTACGCCTTTCTATCTTAAAAAGAGATATACATTCTTAAACACAAGGCAATCACTAAATTAAGATGTGCTGCCCCTCATTTCACCTAATAGCTAGCTAGAAATTACTTCCTCTCAGAACACAAAAGGATGTTTAATGTTTTTAAAAATTTCTTGTTTTAAAAATTTCATTATTTTTTTGCTTTGTGGACAAGATAACCACTATAATCATGTTGGGTTTTTTTTTTTTTTTGCAGTGGTAGGGCGGAAGCCAGGACCTGATGCATGCCAAACAAGGCTCTAAATAAAAAGGTGTTACAGTGAAATTTCCCTTGTATCATTTCCTAGTCGTCCAGTTCCCTTCTTCAAGGGTGACAATATAATTTATCTTTTGTGCATCCTTCCTTGAGCCTTCAAGCCCAAATGAGCAAACCTGCACAGACAGAGGCACAGGTCCCCCTGCTCAATTACAAGATAATAGTGTGACACATCCTATGAGGGAGTGTTAGCTAATGCATTTCCCAGGAAACTTTTGACCTGTGTGTGAACCTGGGGCACAACATTCCCCAAACAGCAGAGGACATAGCACTCCAACCCCAACCTGCCCCCACCTCCTTCACCTCCACAGCTCATCTCCTCACTAGATGTTCCTCTGCTAGCTCCGCTCCTCCTGCCTCAAAGTTTCTCCAAGCAATTTCCTTCTCCAACTGCTTCCTTAAACTCTTGACTTGTACTTTCGACAAACTTAAAACTTAACATTTCTGAAATCAAACTCAATATCTCTTTCTCTCCAGTAGACCACTCTGGAAGCATGTCTCACTATCCAGAGTGCCAATGTCCTGGGTTTCTCATTGGGCCTCAGAGCTACAGTCTCATCCCTTACACTGGCCATTCATTAAATCCTATGTCTTCTCTATCCATGAGTGCCTGACCCTGCAACCTTCCAAGCCTGCTGGTGGGAGGGTGATACCCTCCTTGAGGTGCAGGTGATGTCACCATCCCCTTACCCATCTCCTGATGAACTGTCCACCTTCATCCCAGTGTGCTGTACCCACATGTGCAGAACTCTACAAACCCTTTCAACATTCACGGGCTATTTACCCAGGTATAAATACCAAACAATGATGGCTTCTATAACCAGCTGCAAACCCAGCCTTTTAAAACTTTTCCACAAAACTCTACTATCACTCTAATTTGCCACAAATCTACCTAATCTACTTAACTTCTACAATGGTTGCTTTCCGACAACCTTAAATATTCTTTACTGCCACTCTGTCAAATTCTCCATTTTCTAAGAACTCTCTGACAAGCTCCAGTACCACAAATAAAACAAAACAAAAACTTCAGAGTATAAATTATTTTTATCTTTTATGGGTTCTTTTAAATGCTATTTCCTGCTGCAATGTAAGCATCTTTCAAGGTCACCAAGGATACCACTAATCCAGTGGTCAGCTGGGTCCTCATTTTATGTGGTTGGTGGCAGCTGGTGACACATCTCTTCTTGTGCCTCCCATCCAGAGCTGCCCTCTCTTAGGCTCCCTTCAAGCCTGCAGTTTCTCAAGCTCCTGTTGCTAAACAGTAGGACCCATCTCTAGCCCCACCACCCTCTCACTGTTAGAGCTCTTGACAGTCTCCTGGCTTTAGACCCCCACTGTCTGCTACAATACTGCATACATCCTTTCTTACTACAAATCCGAGAGACTTGGAACGTCATTTAGGAAGTTTAACTTGATTGAAGGACAGCTTATGACTATGCTGGGAATTACTGAAGAGGGAGCTGGGGAGACACAAGCTAGGCCCAGAGGACAGACAAGATGGCATAAGGAGAAGCAGCTGGTGTCGGAAAATGTCCTGAAGAAAAGCTGTAGGTAAAAGCAGGCATGCAGGGGAGTTTAGAAACCACAAATGCAGAGGTATTTGCTCAAAAGAGTTCCCAGAAGACCTTATGCTTTCATCTTGGACCAATTCCTAGGTGACAAGGTAGAACTAAAGTCACCATGCATGGCTGCCAACAGTACAAAATAGGGCAACTGCCCCAATCCAAACTCTGTGATGGCTCCTTGAAACGTTTAATGCAGAACTGACACATGACCCAATTCTGCTTTGATTATATACCCTAAAGAAGTTAAATCAGGAACTCAGGTAGGTACTTCTCTGCATTATTTTTCTTAGCACTTTAAAAAGCATAAAAAAGTGAATGTATTTAAACATATTTAGATGATAATAGATCAAATGGGTCACTAATAATTTGTGCTATAGCCTGTTCAATGAACTGAAAACAAAGTTGGTCAGACAAAGGCACAGGAACTTGGTCTTGTAAGAACTAAAACTAAGGAGCTCCATAATAATCATCCGGCAGCTCTGCAATAAGAAATGTACACAATAGAAACTCCAGGGATCTTTTGGATTCCCCAGTCAACCATAGCCACAGTGTACACTTGTGCTTACTGCATAAGAAGTCATCTGCATAGATCCCTTTATGTGTGCAAGGTTCAAATCATGGATCCTTGACAATCTTTAGAGCCATTCAATACTTCTGTCCTGGTATCTCAATTTCAGCCATTACACAATCAATTATACAAAGGGTGACTTGGCACACACAGACAGTCATCAATTGCACTAAGTCCAAATTGGCTTTGACAGAAAAGTTTATAAAATTGATATTAACCAGGATATAACAAGATGGGCCTGTGTATTATACTGGAAGCTCTTAGACAGTCTCCTGGCTTTAGACGCCCACTGTCTGCTACAATACTGCATACAGCCTTTCTTACTACAAATTCGAGAGACTTGGAAAGTCATTTAGGAAGTTTAACTTGATTGAAGGACAGCTTATGACTATGCTTATTAATATGAAGGATGTTCGGGGACTTCTCTTTCCTTTACAGCACTGGCATCTCTCTCTGTTTTAATCTAGCCTTTTCTTTGAGTCTCTGATCTCTGAGAGTAAACATATGCTTTATGGTCATATACTTCCTGGTTTTCGTTTCCCCATGTTCACACCACACACATGCTTCTCCCCTATTTGTGTATATTTTAAAAGTCAATCCCTCTACATCCTCATCAACATGTGGAATTTCCTTTCTTATTTTCACTTTCAGGTGGAGCTATGATGGATTACTTAGCACGGCTCTAACTTGTCCTTTGCTCCTAATGAATGAGCTTGAGCACTTTTTCGTGTTGCAACTGAATACTGAAAAGTGGCTGCTTAAGTCTCTCACATCTAGTTGAGTCCATAACTTTCTTTCTGATTAGGAGTTCTTGGTACAAATTCTTCCAGGACAAACATGCTATGCCATCATCCCCCTCTGGGGTCACTAATATACTCTCTCAGAGGACCTCATCTACTCTCTCACAGGGACCTCAAAGTCTCTCAAACACTCATATCTCATATCCTCAAATAACTCATGTCCTGCCGAGGGGCATGTTAAATTGAAACAGTCACTATGGACACTGATGGGGCAGTAGCTCTATGATTTAGCAATTGCACCCCCACGAGATAACCAAAAGCCACACAGGAGAATGTCTAACACATCCTTACCTGAACTAAGCCCAATGCAAGTTCCCCAAATCAACTACCAAAAGAGTAAACAATTAGGGTACACTCAGGTAAAGATACATTAGGCAGCAGGGCATACTTAGATCTACAGATACATGTGCAGTGTAGATGGACTGTGGAGGCAATGCTGACCCACAGAAGCTAGATGTGCTTCCTTCCAAACAAAGTATAAACTCCAGTTAAGGCATTCCATTGAAAGAACAATTTTTTGTTTGTTTAGGAGGGGAACAGAGGTGGCTTTCAAGGTTTGGTGCTGATTTTCTGAGTGTGCTGGGAAAATCCATCTAGCTACATTTGGAATGCATATACTTTTCTGTATGTGTTTCATCTGTCAAAACTAGTTAATATAAGTTCTATAAGAGATATAGATGAAATTATATACTTGAGATTTGTTTCATAATAGTCCACCAAAAAACTTGAGTGAGGGTTGGTGTATGGATAAAGCAAGATTCTCCCACTCCCTCTCTCCATCACTCTTAGTCAGAGTCTCAGTATGTAGTTCAGACTGGACTTAAAGTCATGTAGCCCAGGCTGGCCTCAAACTCAAGGCAATCCTTCTGCCTCAGCCTTCTGAGAGTTTAGATGTGTACCACCATGCCTAGAAACTCTCCAAATCTCTGTGGTCACTAGAGCTGAGTAATGGCAATAATCAAACTCATATAGCATCACCCTGGGAAGTTGTATTTCCATAAAACAGAAAAACTATCCTGAGAGGGAGGCAAAAATGTACTTACGGGATTTGGTTCAGGCTTTCTTCAGAAGTGGTCATTTTAGCTCTTTTGTATAACTTTTTTAGTTCTTCTACATGTTCTGAATTATCAACGCCCATTCCCATGGACAGAATTTCAGCTCGCACATTATAATCAACAACAGAAGTTCTCAAATTTGAAAGTTTTGTAACATGTACCTTGAATAAAAAGAAACCGTAACATTTGCAGGAGTTACACCTTATTCCCCATATGCACTGAACCCAGAGGTGCTCTACTACTGTGCTGTCTCCTCAAATCTTGTTTTTTCAGGCAGAATCTACGTTGTCCAGGCCATCCTTGAATTTTTTATTCTCCTGCTTCAGCCTCCTAAGTAGCTGAGGTTACAGGGTTGCACCACCATGCCTGGCCATATTTTGATCTTTAATTGAACCATGAATGCCCTTGAATGTCTCTTTGTGAAGCACAATGGCATATGCCACAGTGTATAAGGGCTCCCCACTGCAGCATCTGCTTACTTTACTACTGAGGTCATGGTCATAAAAGAACCATCCAAAATTGAGCCCCACGCTACAAAAATATGATCAGGTGTCGGAATAAAATACTTGGTCCAAACCAATCTATCGTGCTACAACTGGCAAGAAAATTGTGATTGTTTTTTCTGACCCTAGCTCTTACTTTTATTAGTAAGGAAAATCTAAGCTCAGAGTTTTCATACCCAGAATGGGCTTATGTCAAGACTGTAAATTCTGTGTTTGTACTATTTCCTCCATCTGTCTTTTCTGAAGCCAAAACATTCTCATTCATTTCAATTTAAACAGATTAAGTAAAAAATAAAAAAGTCTGCAACAGTCTGACCTCTATTGTTATGGTTTGTATCTATATTGCCTCCAAAACCTCATATAGTAATGGGGGCAGGCTTCTAGAATTTGTGATTCATTCATGGTCCAATGTTGGAATTATAGGTTCAAGTGCTACATCCATCCTAGGGTAGGTAACCTACACAGATATAAGGGAGGGAAAGAGATTCGCTCTCTTTGCTCCTCCCTTTTTGCTCTCGTTGATTCTTCTGTTTTCTGCTGACATGAACTGTTACCCTCTACCCTGAGCCATCCTGTCTTTAACCCAGCAGATTATGGAGTGAAACCTCCACAAACTGTGAGCTAAATAAACCATTCCTTCCTTAACTTTTTGTGTCAGTTCTTTTTTGTCTCAGTGATGAGAGTAAAGTAACCAACAAAACTATGGAGGCAAAGTACAGGAGTGTTCCTTGCATGGTAGGTAGGAATGGGCCAGCTTGACCTGCTGGGCACCTTCTTCAGTGAACCCTGGGCATGAGTCTCATCTGGAATGGAGAGAAAAGCCTCTGTCCCCTGAGAGATAGCTGGGCTGTTAACAGACAAATTGCACAGGCTAAGTCACAAAAGCTAGACATGAAAAGACACACTGTACATTTCCATTCAACCAAAGTATAAACACCAGCTATGCTTTTCCATGACAGAAGAATGGCCCTGTTGAGGAGGGAGTCAGAGGTGACTGGGGTCTCTTCCTTTCCAAAGTGCTATAGACACTGTTACACACTGTGTAAACTGTGGAAACTCATTTGCCCAGTGGGGTTTTGGGTTTTCTTTTTTGTTCCATTCTCTGAGCTGTGGTTTTTAAAAATCTCTAATTCAAATTTCCACTTTTGTAATAAAGAGTAACTAATACTGACTATGAGCATATCAACTAAGACCTTCTTACTCTACTTACTTGCATTGGTAATCTGTATTTTCTAAAACCTATTTATTTTTTTGAGACAGGATCTTTCTATGTAGTTCAGACTGGCCTTGAACTCACTATGTAGCCCAGACTAGCCTCAAACACTCAGTGATCCTCCTGCCTCTGTCTCCCCAGTGCTAGGATTTCAGGTGTGTGCCACCACGCGTGGCTTCTCCTCTTATTCTTAAATTTTATACAGATACTCCCCTTTTGACATGCTAAAGCTTTATAACCTTACAAAAATAACTTTCAGCAAAGCAGTTCATTTTATTGAACTGAATTCCTTATTCCTGAATTCTTATAATCATACTAATTAGGATTTAACACAGCAAAATATTAAATTGAAAAGTAGAGTTCTAGTAGTACAAGTGGAGAGGGCAATGTCAGCACAGTACAGAGAAGGAGACCCTGAGCCCCATGTCCTGTGTCATACTCACTCTGCACCTCTACTGCTGCAGTAGAGGCGCCTTTACTGTTCTGCTCACTGGTGAAACTCTTGAGTCCTGCACTGGTCCTTGCACAGGAGCTCAATAAACATCTGCTAAGTGAAATGTGAACACTTTTGAGTGCCCAGGGACCTGAATCCTCAGGATTGTCAAGCATGCCCAGGGTCTTTAAGATCACTTATAAAGTAGAAAAGACAGGCATTATTACAGCAGTCACTGACCTGGAGCTTCTATGGAGTGTGTACGCACAGTGGGCTATGAACTCAACTTAATGATCATGATAGATGCTTGAAAAAGTAGCACAGAATTATAAATAGGAAATGACAAAGGTAGCAAGGACAGTTTCATGAAACTTCAGTTGTGCATGAGAGAGTACGACAAATACATGTGTGTGTTTGGTTACAATGTAAAACAATCTATCAAATAAACTAAACCCACAACCAAGTTAATGACACAAATAACGTAAAAAACATTTCTCTCCAACACAGAGCAACAAATAAACCATGAAACACAGTACAATAATCTGGATCATTTTAGTGGCCTGCTCAAAACTCTTTCTTCTTAGGAAACTTGCATACCTACCATCGAATCAATCCAAACTGTATTTCCCAAAGCCAATACCACTTTTGCATCATGTAGTTTTCCAACAATTTTATGATGAATGTACCTAGTAACCTGAAAAAAGCATTTCTGTTATTTTTCTGAAACTTTAACAAGAAAATACCTTATTCTGTATATACTGTGTATTTTGCAAAATATTCTTGCATTTCATTTGAACTTCACAACAAGTCTACAAGTTAGGGAAGCAGCCTAACCTTCTTGTAGGTGCTCACACTATTTCTCCCCATTAGGATGGCAGCCAGTTTATTTCACCATGACTCCTACATTGCACCATAGGACTCCAGGCATAGTGGCAGTCATACCATTCTGCACCAGCAGGGACCTAGGTGGACTGCACTCTAGGCATAAAGCTAAGGCCCAAATGCAATGCTTTAAATTTAAAAAAGCCCCAATTCTGTAAAGGTTCTGGGTTACATATATTATACAAGTCAACAAAACATAAAAAGTAAACGAGACTCACCTTCGGATTCCATTCCATCTCACCATCAGTAGGTTTCACTCTGCAGACAATAAACTCCACAGCCTGTGGGGGAATAGCACTGAAGCTCTCAGGGAGATTCAACAGCTGGTCTGTGGCAACCAGCCCTGTCCTGCCTTCATCTATGAACTTCACCAAGACATTGCCTGGGACCCATGAGTCTTCTCTTTGGCTCATCTCTAACACCTGGACCCTAGAGAAGAACTGTGGTATCAGTGATTCTTAAACAGGAAATCATCTTTCATTCAACTTACCCATCAAAAGGAAAATATACAAAAGACTACAACACTACATGGTTTTTTCTCTACACTAGGCGTATAAAAAGCTAGGGCCTTCAAGAGCTCCTAGTAGCCGATTAAAGTATACAGGTAGTACTTCTGAAAAGTAACTCCCTTTATCAGACAACCTAATAAAAACACAGCAAAGTTTAGTTTCGCAATTTCCAACTCAAGGCGGTCACCAGGAGCACAGGGTGTGGATTCAGAAAAGTGGGTACAAACAAGCACATTGATTAGGAAGGCCAGGATGGAACACTGACTGTGCCATCTAGTAAGCTGAGCTTCAACAATTCATACACTGTAATCCTCTGTAACTCTGGCTCCTTATCTGTAAAATGGGAATACTGCTTATTTTACAGGGATTTGGTAAGAGTTAAATAAATTACAGAGGCATGTGTATGTTGCATACAATGCTCACTCAATAAATGTCTGAGTTGCTCTGCTATCGTGCTCTGTGCAAGGGAACTAGGGTGGTAACTCATGCAGCCTGGAGTATACTGTGCCATGACACCCTCCTAGAAGGGTGGGCATGGGGTGCACACATTCAATTAATTGTCAATGATGAAAATAGGCATGCACCACCACTGGAATTACCTCATGTCTCAAAACTTTTAGAGATGAAACAGATATTTTACCTGTGAAAAGATGTTTTCTCTTCTAATCCATACAATCCAAATTTCTTCACCTTCTTAACAGTTGTTTTATTACTAGAATCTTTAAAATACTCATTAATTTCAGCATTAAGAGTTGCATAAAGATCCACATGTTTATCAATTATTCGACCAAAATAATTTGTTGCATTTGAAACATAACAAGGTATCATCTGAAACATATACAACAAACATATCCAAAAAACACACTTAATTTAAACTAGAGATGTATGCAGCCCCTTTATCTGCAGAAAATGTGCCTAACCAAGCATGACTAAGAATCCAGAGCATGACTACAGGGATTTAAAAAATAAACTAGAGCAGGATATTGGTAGTGAGCACCTGTAACCCCAAAGCTCTGCAAAGTTGAGGCAGGAGGACTAACAAGTTCAAGTTCAGCCTTCACAATTTAGTGACTTAGAAAGACCCCTATCTCAACATTAAAAAGGCTGGAGATTCTTTTTTACTCCTGTATTTCCCAAATGGTAAGACTATCTGCCAGGCTAACGGGTCTCAGGTTTGGTACCCCCCCCACCCCTTGCACAGCATTAGCACATCAAAAGACAGTTTACATCAACAGAATGAGGTGGCCAAAGGAAGCTTGTGGACTGGATGCTCTTCAGAGAAGAGCAGAACAGTGTTAGGCTTTCAGACTCACTGACCTACTCGTTCTGATGAGTAGGGAACTCTCCTGGCTTTAGCACCAAAAGCTCCATATGCTGGAATAGTCTTCAATCTTGACTGTGCAAAGCTGGAAGGTGACTTTTAGTCACCCTCCACCACCTGTTTTAATTCCACTTTCCCTTGGACCTTTGCAGATGAATAATTCAGTTTGTTGTTGTTGGAGATAATGATATAAAAACCAGTATAATTTCTAAAACCATTAAAAAAGGTAACTTAAAAATAGTAATATTAACAATAGCACCCCAAAATTTAAACTACTAGGGATAAATTTAATATAGCAAGTATGACACCTATCACTGAAATCTAACAATGCTTACATAAATTGAAGATGATTTATAGTGATATACCATCTTAATGGACACATGACTTAGTCTGGTTAAAACATTAATTCTCCCCAAATTAACCTACAGACTCAATGCAATGCCAATCAAAAGTCCCAATGGGTTTACAACTATAAAATTTTATATAGTTGCAAAGAAACGGAAAAAGAATACTGAAGGACAAAAGTGGAAAACCTACCTACCAGTTTTCAAGACTATACCACCATAGTAATCAAGCCAATATGGTACAAGGAAAGAGAGGAACAGTGTGAAGAACTCCAGAATCCACACAAATGGTCTCCTTATTCACATCATAGGTAATGCGATTTAGGACAGAGATTAAGTTTTTATAGCAAACAACACTGGAGCAACTGATTATCCATAAGACTAAGCCTTATATACCATCTTACTTCAAAAAGTAATATAGATGAATGATAGACATAAATGTAAAATTAAAATGCTTATAGAAAAAATACATAGAAAAATCTTTGTGATCTCAGAATAAGAAAGATTTCTCACATTAACAGTGCAAAAAAGTGATAAACTTTATCCCACAGAAATTAAAAACCTTTGCTCTGCAACTGCAAGAAAAGTTTTATATAATCCAGAATATGTAAAGAATTCTTTAAAACTTGATAAAGAAAAAAAGCTAAGTAAAAATAGGCAAGAGCCAGATGTGGTGGTACACACCTCTAATCCTAGCACTCTAGGAGACTGAAACAAGATGACAAATTTGAGGCCAGCTCGGGAAACTTAGCAATTTAGTGAGAATCTGTCTCAAAATAAAAATAAAAGACAGCTGGGGATCTTTAGTCCTAGGTTCAAGTACTATAGGAAAAAAAATCTACAGAAACCTTAGAAAATGTAAGTAGTCCACAAAAGGATGTGGTGGAAAGAAAAGATGCTGAAGATCATTAATTATTAAAGAACTACAAATAAGACATCAGTGAAACAGAATGGCTGACATATTGAAGAGAATATGGACCAAGTAGAATTCCAGTATGAGAATGTAAAATGGTACAAGCACTTTAGAAAACTGCTAGTTTCTTTTTTTTTAAGAGAAAAAAAGGACATAAAAAAACAAAGCAGTAAAAGGGTAGAAATAATAGAGTATTTCAAGAAAAAAAATATACAGTAGGAAATCACCAGTTAATAGGTTACATATTATCTTCCCAGGAACAGTTGTCCAAATTACAAAATTAAAGCAAATAAAGTGGACATTCATACAGTGAAATTGGAAACAGTTCGGTTCAATGATCCAACAAAAGCTCAGTAATATGGTTTTCCATCCTACACACTCGAACATACCTGCGGTTATATCCCTCAGTCCACCTTCCTTTCCTCTCTTTTTTACAATAACAATTAGATTTTTGGGGTTTTATTACTCCCATGGTTCTTATTACTTTTTTTGAAGAGAATAAAACCAAATGTGACTAAGCAAAACAGAGTCAGTTAGAACAGAAGGGTGGGCACAGCACATGATGCAAAAATAGAATACCAGGTGATCAAAAGTGGTTACCGTTATGCCTCTTGCTATTTTTAAATTGATTTGTCTATATCACCAGGTATAATAGAATTGATCACAACAGCACAGAACAAGACCAATAAAACCTACACTGAAGACCTTGCAGGACTTCAAAAAAAAAAAAGGATAATAGTCAAACCATAATGGGCCTCATAGTGTATCTTATTGCCTTCAAAGTGGTTGCCTATACCCTCCAAACTTGATACTATCAAACAAAATAGAATATAGAATAATCAGAACAAGATAGGGAGAGCAATACTTGGGTTCAAATCAGGTTAATAGGAAAACCAAGAAAGTTACTATACTATGTCCCGCTACTTTTAATTTAGTTTTCCCTTAATTAAAAAAATGAGAGAAAATAGATTAATTTAAAAAGGGGGGGGGATTGACATAAGAGAGGATATTGTAACAGAACAACGCAGGGCAGAACCAAACCATTCAAGCATCATTGTGTTTCACCACCAGATAATCTAACATAATAGTAGTCGCCATAGTGCCTCTTTCTTTGAATTATTTGAGTGTAACTTCGTATGCTACAACATCAAGCATATCAAGATAGTGTGAAGCCATTCAAGAGAATGCAAGAATTACAGGGTATTTAGAATCAGCTAATAGAAAATGAACAACGGTTTCTTTATTATCTCTTTGCCTATAAAGAATTTTGTTTATACTATAGCATATAGTGAAATATAGTAAGATACAACATGTTAAAACCAGTGGAAACAGATGTATCATAGCTTGATGGGACTTCAAAACAAGATGATATTAAATTAGCACTAGCTTTTATGTTGTGTTTTCTTCAAAATTGCTATTTGTACTATCATAGATACTAAAATCGAACAACCCAGGTTAAAACCATTGTGGTTAATGAGTGAAAACATTATATGGCTTCAAACCAATATGATTGGGAATCATGATTACCACATACTTTTATGTATTCTTATCATTTCTTACACTAGGGAAACTATTCAGTATTTATACATGCGAGTTTGATTTCACTTATGAGTATGGTCTCAAGCTGCGTCCATTTATTTATAAATGTCTCAGTGTGATCATTCTTTTTTTTTATTTAAGGAGAAAAGAAAAGAAAGAAATAAAAAACAGTGAAGGGGTACAAGTTATACAGATTTACAGAAGAAAAAAATGCGCAGTAGGAAATCACTAGTTAATGGATTACATATTGCCATCTTAGAAATAATTGTTCAAGTCACAAAATTAAAGCTTGTAGAGTGGACATTCCAACAATGATACTGCAAACAGTTCTGTTCAATGATCCAATAAAACTCTGTGATATCATTTTCTATCTTATACATTTAAATATACATGCAGTTATATAGTTTAGAGTACTTTCTTTTCCTCTCTTTTGTACAGTGACTATTACACATTTTGGGTTTCATTGCTCCCACGGTTCTTATTGCTTTTTTGGAAGAGAGTAAAACCAAATGTGACATAACAGAACAGAATCGGTCAAGTCAAAAGTGTGGATATAATAGATAATATAAAAACATAATACAAGGTGATCAACAATGGTTACCATAATGCCTCCCGCTATTTCTAATAGAATTGCCTATATCATTAGTTGTAATACAATTGAACAAAACAGTAAAGAATAAAACCGACAAAACCAAAACATTGGAGATATTGTAGGTCTTCAAAAGTAGATAAAAGTCAACGAGAATGGGCGTTATAATGAATCTCATTATCTTCTCAGCTGATGCCTAAACTTTCGAACCTGATACTATCCAGCAAAACAGAATAGAGGAACCTCAGTCAAAAACAAGATGGTGAGAGTAATACAGGGGTTCAAATCGAGATAATAGAAAGTCAAAGTGGGTTACTATATTATATCCTGCTATATTTTTCCCTTTAATTAAATGGATAAAAATAAAAAAGTAAATAATGGAGTGGAGATTGAGAAAAAAGAGGGCATAACAGCGAAACAGGGCAGATCAAAACATAACCATTTAAGCAGAATAGTGTTTCACCACCAGATATTTCTGACCCAAAAATAGTTATCATATTGACTCCCTCCCTGAAGTCCTTGAGTACAACTTCATATACTGTAGCATTAAGTATATCAAAGCAATGTAAGACCATTTAAGAGAATGACAGCATTATAGAGTATTTAGAATCGACTAACAGAAAATGAACAATGGTCTCTGTATAATATCCTTGTCTTTAAAAGGTTTTTGCTTATACTATCGTACATAACAAAATCCAATAAGATACAACCTGTTTAGACCATTGGAGACAGAAGAACAAAAGCTAGATGAGACTTCAAAACAAGATGGTACTAAATCAGCATTACCTATTAAGATGTCATTTTCTCCAAAATAGCTGTTCCTATCATCCAATCTTCTCTGTCTCATTTCTGTTGAGCTCTTTTTCTGTCAGTAGCTGTCAGTTTGTCTTCTTCATTTTGTTCTCTGCTCCATTCGTTGTGGCCTCCCCGCCACTATTTCTGGGTTCTTTGTATTTTTCTTTTTTTAGAATATCCTGCAATACTTTCTGTAGGGTTGAATTGGTGGTTGCAAATTCCCCCAGTTCCTCTTTATCCTGGAAGCACCTCGTTTTTCCATCAATTTCCAGGGACAGTTGTGCAGGATATCTCAATCTTGGCTGGAGATTATTATCTTTCAAAGCT